CATCACTTACGCGCCAGAAGCAATTCACCTGTCAGCCTCCAAGTACGCGGAACAGCTAGGCAAACGCTTCAACATCTCCCCGGCACCGCTTTCAACTCCCTACCGCAACCCCAGCGCCAACTACAAACCGGACAACAAACCTCTGTCGCCCGCAGGACTCCAAATGTACCAGCAGAAATTGGGGTGCCTGCTATTCGCCTCTGTCACCTGCCGACCCGACCTCTCGTACATCACCAGCCAACTGGCGCAGTACTCCCGCAAGCCAGTAGCAGAGAACCAGCTGGACCTGGAGCGCGCCCTGCAGTACTTCATCTCTACTCCTGACATTGGGCTCTCCTACTCCACGCTGACGGCCACCTCCTTCAACCTCAACGGCTACGTGGACGCAGATCATGCAGCTGACCCTGCAAATCGACGGTCCCGAACCGGCTTCGTTTTTCGCTTGGAACCAACTGGGCCAATCTCCTGCAACTCGCAGAAGCAGGAGCTGGTTGCCCTGTCATCGGCTGAAGCAGAATACATCGCCGCGACAGCAGCAGTTCGCGGAGGCCTGTACCTGCAGGAGCTACTACAGGAGGCGAAAATTCCAACTTCGCCCACCTTTCGCCTTCACTGCGACAACCAGAGTGCCATCAGGATCGCGAACAAGCCAGGTTTCGTGAACCGCACGAAGCACATCGCGCTTCGGTATTTTTTCGTCAAGGACGAAATCGACCAAGGCAAAGTTGACCTCGCCTACTTCCCGACCACTGAGATGGCAGCAGACTTTCTCACCAAGCGTCTGCCACGTCAGCAGTACAAACACTGCTCTGACCTCACCGGAGTAGTCAAGCGAGTCAGCTCCACCCGCGTCCAGGAATGAAGGGGAGTGTTACGATATGAAGTTTTATGAGAAGGCATTCCTGTATGCTGCAGGAGCCGACTCTACCGAGTACGAAGTCGATGAGTCAGAAGAGTCGAAGCGACGCAGCAACCGCCTGACCAAGACCGATGCTGGCAGAAACATTTGAAGTGAAAAGAGCGGGAACAGGTTTGAAACGGGTTCCCGCGCCGCACGGTTTGAATTCGGTTGTAATAAGGGAATGTACCCCTTAGAGTACATGGCTAGTCTAGGTCTTTTCGTATTCCCCTGTATTTTTATATAAACCCGATGTATGCATGCTATTATCAACTCAGTCATTTACATTCACTCTGACCTGAGATTCAAACTTCCGCTGCAACTCTACTCTGCGATCAACCCTGAGCGATCCTTTGCTAAGTCCCACTTGGGATTGTAACACCTCTCTATATCTATTCCTTTTGCTCCCTTACCAGGTTGAGCAAAATAATATGATACTTCATTATGAATGGAATAATGTGTTTCTCTGATACTGGTGTATACTTTTCCAAGTCACAACTCTCTCGCACGAAAAGGTGAGGTCCATGCACGGCGATTCTCCCAATGACAGGTTCTTGTCGGATGACCTGCGCGCACTCCCTTGAGCATGGCGCGCGTCCTGCGCTCGCGCTGCGAACAAGCTCACCCCTCGACATAGGAACGACCAAAGTCGCGAGTTGAATCAAATGCACAAGTTTTTTAGGGCGGACACAATCGTAAGAACCTGGTTACACCATCAGCTATAGTTCGCCATTCGTCAAAGAAAGTCGCAATCCCTCGTCAAACATCGAGATCCCGAGACCCCTGTCCCTTGGCTCTGAAGAATGCCGAGTCCAAACAGAAAACTCGATGGGAGGCTGTCGTGCGAGTCGCCTGGCGATCCCAAAGAGACGCCCCCATCTTTGCCCTGCGAGCCAATCCCATCGCACCACAGCCCCGCCAGCCAATCTCAGACTGCCAGATCCATAAGGGCGACTCCACCGAAGAACTCTGGGGCGCCAGGGTGGTAAAATCGAGATTCGATGGTCGGTCAGCCAGGTGACTAGAGAGGAGGGGGCAGCAGAGGGGCTGACTATGGGTGGTAGTATACTAACAACGGAAATCCCTTGGGAAATCATCACCTCGACCATTGACGTTGGTTGCCGAACAAAGGAAACTCCACTCAGAGCCACAACCCTCACTTATTCGCCGATTCTGCCGAAAACGGGAAGAATCTCATCCACCCCTTCCTCGTTCAGAGGCGGTAGTGCAATGCTTTTCCTCGAATTCAGCACGTCTTTCTAAGCTGCGACCTCCGCTTCGAGAGTAATCGTTTGCAGCCGCGACTGTTCTCTACCATCATGGCGTCAGTGAAAACCCCCGACGGTATTTCCAAATCTGCGAGCCGAGGGAAGGCCGCTGGTTTCCTCTCAAAGACTACCGATACCGCTCTGCTTGTTGACATACCTCTCGTCGCAGACACGGACACGTTGAAGAAGGAAGCTACAGGAAAGCGACTCGTTGGGAGGACGATGCTTGTGGGCGTCCTGATTGGCTGCATATTCCTCATCCTTCACATGCTGCTTCATGGCATCACCCCTCAAGACGTCCGGCATTCGTTCCTGAGAATGGCGACGAAGATGTCCATGGCGAGCTCCCAACAACAAAACTCGGTCATGCTGGTTTCCGACGGACTGGCTCCCAGCGCGGTGTCGATCAGTGTAACCACTTCAGCGGGAGGCGTTGATACCAGGCGATTGCAACAGAGAGCCGACATGATTTCTCGAAGCACCCTGGCTGTGCCTTCAAAGTCAGATTTCGGTCAGCAGCAGAGCACAAGCCAGGAGCAGCATCAACGCCAAGGAGCACAGATTCAAGAAGTCATTGCTACTGAGGAGGTCGACCAGAGCGTGAGGAACTCCGACGCAGAGACTGCCGAGAACGGCTTGAAAAGCAACAACGACGAGGCGAAACCTGCAGATTCAAGCGGCGATGAAGGAATGCCTTTGCCGTCGGAGCTCAAGGACGTCCACGTGTTCGTCTCGACAGATGAAGCGGACTTACGCCCGATCGCCGTCGTCATCAACTCAACTATCATGAACACTAGGCAAGTTGCTACGTTCGTATTACTCAAAACCAGAATATACGTTCTGTCACCTACCCACCTAACTTCATTCCAAGTGGTCCTGCCGAATTCACAGCAATACATAATTTCTCTTATCGTTTTCCGTGGAACCACTCCAGGAACCCGCACCTGGTGTTTTTCCATTTGGTGATTCCTGAGGAGAATATCCAGGCGGTCGAAGAAAAGCTTCTGCCCCTTTTCCCGCATGTCCGGATCGACATCAACAGGTATGTCGTTGGCGGTTCAATCACGCAAAAAGTATCATCGAGTTTCACGTGCAGTATGCATCTCATCCATCACCTGATAAGTCCGAAAGGCATACTTAACTGCTCTTCGTCTTTTCATGTGTCATTGCCTTTCTCAGAAAGCCCATTGACCGCGAGCGCATCCAGCACCTCATTGTGTACAAGGAGGGAAGCAAGGCGAGGGAAGAGCTGGTTAGCGTTTTCAATTTCCTGCCATTCTATCTGCCACTCATCGCTCAGGACCTCGACCGCATTGTCTACGTGGACTCAGACGTTGTTGTTGTGGTACGTACAGCTACGTGCAATGAACCAGTCTCGCATGTTCGACGCCTGCTCACACAAATCTTTCACTGGGCTGCTTGGTAGTCGTTGTCCTCTCCTCTATCGCTATCTGATCCTTGCTTACGCAATGCCCTGTGTATACCGCAGGGTGACATTGCGGAATTGGCGCATGTTGACATGGGAGGCATGGCAGCAGCAGCGGTGGAAGACTGCATGCAGACATTCGACCAGTACTTCGATTTTAATCAGCTCGCGGAGATTCATGCTCAGAAGAAACCTGACCAGCCGCGCATGCCCAAATTTCCGTTTGATAAGTCGGCGTGTGTGTTCAACAGAGGAGTGCTGGTAATGGACGTGCAGCAGTGGCTAGCTCAGAACATGACGGAGTCCATCGAGTGGTGGATGCAGCAGCACAATGATGCCAAAGAGCCATTGTACCGGTAAGAATTTATCTCATCTTCCTCTGCTGAAACGTCCGCTTCCTTCCCTTTGACGTTTGCACTTCTTAATTCCGCTCACCATTCCTTCACAACTTATTTGCCAACCCCACCCTCCCCGTACTCAGCTATGGGTTATCTCAACCACCCTTTCTCCTCACCTTGTATGACCGCTACCGCAAGTTGAAGCGGGAGTGGAATACACGGGGTTTGGGTCGGGAAAAGTTTGGAAAGAAGGAGCTGGCGTACTTAGAGCGGATGGGGCTTGGAAAGCCCAACAAGACCCCCTTTCTTAGCCCGTGGGCTAATGAAGCAAAGATTCTCCACTTCAATGGCAAGTTCAAGCCTTGGAAGGGACCCCGGGTGAGGCCAGTAGGCGAGCCCGCGAATGCTCTTTGCGGTCCGAAGGAAGAGGACTGTGCAGTGCGGTGGTGGAAGTACTTGTCGCCCGAAGCCTTCACCCAGCTGACAGCAGGAAGCAAGCAAAAACGCTGAAGAGAGGAAATTACAGGAAGGGGGGATTTTAAAAGGTGCTGTGAATAGCAAAGAGACGTCCAACCTCAATCTGCTTTCTTTCTTTTCCAACCAATGCAACCACCCTGGTGCTTATTCATGTGCAAGGTGAGTACTATGGTTATAATACTTATAAAATCTATTATATTAAATAAGCCTAGTTGAGATTGCTGGGCCCTGCTGCAACAACAGATGTGACACCAAGTTATTACAGACCAGTGCTTTATTTTCCGTCTGAAGCAGTTCTGATTTGAGTAAATGACAGCAGTGTTGTCTGAACAGAAACAGCTTAAACAGCGAGTCCTACATCATGTCATTCTTCTTGGAGCTGTTCTTGGATAAGGGAACAGCAACCAGTTATAAGTGCCCACACGAACTGGTGGCAAGGCTGAGACTGCTTTGCCACCTTGTTCACAATCACTTTTCATGGCTGTAGCATTTCCCCCAAACCTCCTGCCATGCGCCATCCTCTTCTTCCTCCACTTGAAGTTAAAACCATGGCCAAATCCCTCTGGCAGTGGCAGATCCTCCATTCCTCTCTCCTACTGCCCAGTTGCAGCCGTTGGAACGCTCACATGGGGCAGCTTGGCCACTTCTCCAAACTTGGGGTTGCTGTACTTCTTGAACACGGCAGTCAGATTCCCGGTGCCCGCCTTCTGTTGCAGCTCTGCCATCATCCTCACACATGGCTGTAGCTCCGCCTCAGTGTATCCTGTGTGAAGGACCATCACAGGACACCAGAATGGTCGGCTTACATTGCTGCTGCTGATGCTGCTGCCACTGCTGCCGCTGCTGCTGCTACTGGTGCTGGTGTTGGTGCTGGTACTCCTACCCAGGGTGAGACTGGTGGCGCTAGCAGCAACACTGGTAGCAGGAGTTCGGCCATCTGTAACAGCAACCGAGACAGCAACTGGGACAGAAATCGGCAGAGCACTGATCGATTGCTGGCTGCTGCTGCTATTTGAACCTGCAACAGGAACAACAAATCCAGTACCAGCGGCAGCGGCAGCGACAGCCGTGGCTGCCGCAGAAACAGTACTGCCTCCACTGGCAGCGCTGTGGTGTGACATTAAATGCTGCGACCGGGCGAGCATGGCTGTATACACAGCAGCTGCCGCCAGTTGCGACGGGGAGAACCTCAGCATGCTGTACTCAGGCAGGCTCAGCTCCAGCAGAAACCACGCCAGACTCTGCATCACCTTCTCCGCTCCTGCTCCTGCCGCCGCCGCCCCCACCGCGCCTGCCGTCGTTGCCTCCCCCGCGTTTCCCGCCGCCGCTCCCCCCGCCGCCCTTGCCGACGCCGCCGCCGCTTTCAGAAACCGCGACGCGAACACGTACGGCGTGGGCACCGTGAGCTGGAACCGCAGCGCGTTCAACATCTCCTTCTCCAACGCAATCACCTCCGCGCGGCTGTACGCGTTATCCGATATGTACACAAAATCGCGCACCTCAGGCGCCCAGATCTCCTCGTACTTGGACGCGATGAGCATGGCGGTCACACCCACGAGCTGCAGGTTGCGCCGGCGCACGGGCGCGAGCGACAAGTAACGGTCGATGAGGTTGGCGGTGAGGAAGAGCGTTTCCGGCATGAGCTTGAACTTGAGATGGACCTCGATCAGCCAGTCCAGCAGAATGGCGCGCATCTTGTCGTTGATGTCCGCCTGCTGACTCATGTAGCTCTCCGCCGCCATTGTCTCCCTCTGCAGATGCGCGCGCGGGGGAAAGGGGGGGGGGGAGTCCGGGGAAAAGGGGGCGGATGTGTTGTGGTGGGGTAAGTTTCCGGGGGAAGAAGCGCAAAACATCGAAAGCTGATAAGTTGAGTACCATCAGTGAGGCAAGCTTCCGCCTTCCCGCGAACTATCTCTTTCCCTCTCGGCCCCCGTTACTACTTACTACCACTACCACTTCCACCCCTACGACCACCTTTAGCAGCGCGGCTCACCTCCATGCGGCGGTACAGCGCGTAGATGTCGCGCACGTACGCCGTGGCGGCGAGCGGGTTGCGCCGGTCCTCCCAGTCGATATCCATCACCGCCGGCACCTCCGCGTCCATCAGATCCACTCCGCCGCCTCCCCCGCTTCCTCCGCCTCCGCCTCCGCACGCCTCCTCACTACACGCCGTCAGACTCGCCGTCATCGTCATCGTCAGCATCGGCACTCCCTCCTCCTCGCTCTCCCGCTCCTCCCGCTCTTCCCGCTCGCCCACCTTCCGCCCGCCGCAATTCCCTCCCCGCCCTGTCCCCGCTTTCGCGGCGGCAGCTTCCGCTGAAGGCCTTGCGCGCTCTGCGCCAGCCGCAGCGGTCTGCTCGGTTGCGGCGCTGGTGGAAGCGGTAGACGCGGCGAGAAGCACGGGGACATCGACGGTGGCGGCGGTGACGCTGGTGGAGGCAGAAGCGCAGGCCTCCCGGGCGCCCTTGTCCAATTGCGCCGGTGCAGCGGCGGTTGCGGTAACGACGGAGGCGGTAGCGGCGGCGGCGGAGGTCAGCGGCTTCCTGCGCGCGGGGAGAAATGAGTCGAGCGTTAGCGATGCGATGATATGGGAGGAGAACGTGACAACATGGTGCAGCAGCGGGAGGAATAGGCTCAGCGGGAGCAACATGAGCAGCGGGAGGAATAGGCAACGCTGATTGCAGACGGCACGCACCATCCGCCCCAGTCGCCCATCACACGCCCATCCGCCCGAGACCTTTCCTTATCCTTCTCGAGCCCCATCTCGCCAGCGTTCCCCTTACCCGTCTTTCCCGGCGGCGGCGGCGGCGGCAGTGAGCTCCACCAGGTTGCCCACCTCGGCCAGCACTCGGCGACTCGAGAACGACCGCGCTCCCGCCGGCGCCGCTAGCGCGCTAGGCGCGGGTGCGCCAGGTGCCACGGGGACTGGCGCTGGCGTAGTAAGGGGTAGGGCGGAGAGGAAACCACGCGCCGAGGAGACGCGACGGGAGAGGCAGGATAAGGGTTAGGCATGATGGGGTTGAGACGGGAGCTTCTGAAACTTGTCAAAAGGAGATCTCTTAGAGGAGTGAAACGCGGCGGCGGTGAGGCACGTCGGGTGTCCTAGTGCATGCGAACGAGCAGGGAACGGCTAGGGGGAACGGCGGAACCCAATTTTCAAGTCTTCTTTCGTTTGACTCATCCGCTACGGCTGCGTCGTTTGCGGATCCAGATTCGACTCCTCTTCCACGTGTCACCATAGGCATGCTCCACCACGTCCTTCCGGACTGATTTTGCTCCTTTCAGGCGCCTCAAGAATAGGTGTCTCAGCTAGGTCTACCTTATAGGTGTCACAGCCGCTGTCAAGCGTACCTTTCCTCGCGACGGCGTGCGACTGCTGGTTTTCATCCGCCATGGCTGCTGGTGCAGTGGCGCGCTTCGGCGGCGGTTTGGAACGACTGGCGAGCGAAACGGACGAGGAACGTGTGAGAGTAAGGGGGTGTGTGTGCCGCGTGTGTAAGGAACGTGTGAGAGAGGGAGAGACTGCTCTCGGCTAAGGCGTACGACTCGTATGGCGCGTGTCAGGTGAGCATCTGCTCGCCTCACGGCACGGAACGCTGGTACGGGCGAGGATGGTGTTCCGTCGCGGGTGCACTGCGTCTTAGTGGAAGCGCATGGGGAACCGTGGATTAAACAGGGAGTCCTTGAAGTGACGCGAGGAGATGGCGAGGCAGGGAGGGAGGGTGTGGAGCGGAAGCTCTAGGTAGAGAGTATGACGAGATCGCACCGCTGTTGCAGCTGCGGCCATGCAGCGATACGAATGCTGCGAGACCTCCTTAGGATGGACGCTACTAGCCTACTGTGCGTTCTCGAGTAGGCCAGTCGCAATGATTGGCTTCTGCAGAAGAAGAAGAATCGGTTGCTCCTAGCGAATGAGTCTAGATGGTGGCTAATTCTGACGGTGCTAGTTGATCAAGCGATTCTGGATAGGACTGATCTGTGAAATTCTCCAGGGCAATTCGAGAGAGCTAGTTATTGGCGGCGTAAGTGCGTGGTACGCCCTGAAAACTTGGTCCGAGACTCCCTGCTGCTGCCTTGATCGAGAATGTGTCATGACCTACCAACGGGATGGATGTTCTTTTCTGATGACGGCCAAATATTTTTACACCAGCGCCCCAGTCGCCTCGCGCCAGCATCAGTGTCTGGTCACAATTTCGCGTAACGCATGGTCTCCTTTTTTTCGCATCTGCTTCTCCAGTACTAGCTGAAGTGAGGCCTAGCTGTGGGATTGTTCGGGCGCATACACCACATTCCCCTCCCACACCACGCACAAAGGCTCGACCTGGCATCTCTTCGTATGGTAGCTAGCAAGTGGATGTATGCAGTGGCTGGTCCGCTCCGCTCTGTGTTGTCTGGGATTTGGTTCGAGGCGAGGCGAAGCGGTGAAACCAGCTCCTCCTGTCGTAGCTTGTCTGGATGAGCCCGCGCCAGAACGAAATTCAAATGCGAAACAGAGGAACGCGCGCCAGCACGCAGCGCATGTTCCCGCACCGCTAAGCGCGGGAAAAAGCTGGTTCGGGACACCAGATGGAGAATCGACGGTCCGTTTTTTAATTATGTTTCTGGTTTTGAGTGTTTGCGATGCGCAGATGGAAGCAGGAGAGGTTCGGGCACCCTAACCGTGGTTCGGGAGATTGGTATGATTTCTGGTTTTGGGTAAGTTCGAAAGCAGGGCAAACAGCATACTTTGGCTTTGCTGCAGTCTGGCACCAACGCGAATCCACTCCATTCAGGCCCCTCGGGCAGCAGTGGGAAAGCTGCTCCACAAAATGCCCAAACGCATGAGAACATGTCTCATCTCAAACCCTCTGACGAAAGCCGAGCCTACCACACCCATTCGACATCCCTAACAAAGAGCACTTCGATTCCAATAGTGAGGACTACGTACCGATATGGTACGTATTTTTCTTCATGTAATCCCATTTCATTCCAGCAGGCAAATTGTTTCAGCCCACCATATAATAAATATCTTACGAACTTAAGCAATTTCCAGGGATTCTAGTATCAGTACGAAAAAAAGATATGTTATATATACAAGAACTGCCTAAACTCTTCATCATTACTTGAAGAACATATTTAGTTTTTAAAATGCAAAAACATCTTGATCTGAAAGGTATTACGGTGATACAATATGACATTTTCAAACGCTCAAAATTTGGTTCCAAAGGTGCTGTTGCTGATAATTTCACCAAGGATAGTTATTCAACAGGAAATATGTCGCATAAATTGTATATAGATGTATGTTCATACAAGACCAAATTGATCCATGCTTCTTACGTTTGACTGAGTGTGCGTGCGTGCACCAGATTTGTGCCTTTCACGTGAAATGGAAGCGTTCCTTCTTTTAGCGAGGAAATATCCAACGCCTCGCTTGGCGGTGAGGATCTACATTTGAGCATGGTTTCTGCGCCACGAGCTTCCCCAAACCCAAGGTGAACAAGGCCTTTTGAACATATTTGTGTGACTGTCCTTTCCAAACAGAAGCTAGGCAACGTTTGCGCATCAACCTCGACACCATGGCGGATGTTGGGTGGGAAGGATGGGTTACCCTTAGTCTGATATTTCTGATGTTGGTGCTTCTGGTCGCGGAAGTAGCTCCTCCGTACATGGTGATGATGGGAATTCTTATCATTTTTATTCCACTTCAAATATTGGACGTGGAAAAGGCATTTCACGGTTTTTCAGATCCAGCAATGCTGTCAATAGCAGTGCTTTTCATTGTGGCTAAAGGTATGATATGACGATTTGTTCTCGCTGTTTTCTCAACACCCAAGATAAACTTGTTCCTATCGTGCAGGCATTGAGACGTCTGGAGGACTGGAGTATGTTTCAAAGTTTCTTTTCAGCACCAAAACTGGGAAAAAGTCCAAGTCATTCCTTGTTAGAGGCAGCGAAAACAGTATCGTCTGGGTCCTTCTGAAGTTCACCGTGCCAGTTGCCCTCTTCAGCGCGTTTCTTGCCAATATTCCTCTTGTCGCTATGATGATACCACCAATTGTGGAGTTCTCCAAGAAGGTCAGACATACTTACTGCTTGCCTAACAACTACACAGAGCGTTTGGATTAACCGATGGAAATCCTGATTACAGGTGAACATTTCGCCCTCGAAGATGCTGATTCCGCTGAGCTACGCTGCACTGCTTGGAGGAACCTTGACCTTAATTGGTGCATCAACGAACTTGATGGTCACCTCGATGGCTGCGAAGAAACTCCCGGAGTTGACCATGAACATATTCGAAATTGGAATTGTGGGTGTTCCCACAACAGTTGCCGGAATTTTGTACTTACTAGCATTCTCCGGGAAGTTATTGCCGGACAGGCTGGCCATGCAAGCCACTAACATCAACGCCAGGTATGGACTCTTCCGTCTCTCGGTGTCGTCTAGGTAGTACCCAGCAGTTAAATGTCCAGCCTTGCTTCCTGTATTTCTCCTTGTTAATGACACCAACGTTGTCGTGTTTCAGGGAATATACTGTTGTTTTGGTTGTGAAGCCCTCCTCCTCCCTTTGTCGAAAGAGCGTGGAGCAGACAGGCGTGCAAAATCAGCCTGGATTGCAGCTGCTTCATGTGGAGCGTGACGGGGTTGTGACTTCAGACCCACCGTCTGACTTCATTGTTCAGGCAAAAGACAAGCTTCATTTCTGTGGCGTCATCGACTCCATTCTCTCGTTGACGCAGCTTGATGGATTAGCGCTGTCCGAAGATGAGGTACACGTGATTTGAGTTCGCTTGATCACGGAGGCTTTTGTGACTAGCAAGCTTTCTGTGTAAGTGCAGGGTCAAGAGCAAGTTGACCTCAACAAACTCCGACCAAATCAATTTCTGGTCGAGGCTGTTGTTGCAAGTAAGTCACCAATGGTGCACAAGAGGGTTGCAGACTTGCAGCTCAGGACGCGGTACAAAGCTGCAATTGTTGCAGTTCATCGCTATGGGACAAGGCTAAACAGGTATGGCCAGTCAGTTCAGACTTGTATACGTACAATGTCACACACACGTAAGCCTTGCGTTCATAACCGTTTTTGTTGCAGTGCAATTGGCGACATTGTATTGGAGGCGGGCGACTCTTTGCTGCTGGTGGCTGATGGGAGCGAGTTTGTGTGCAAACACCGGAACAATTCTACTTTTGCCCTCGTTTCTAAGGCAAGACTTGGGAAAATGTGTTGCGACATTGCTTGCTGAGCTAAATGCTGATTCTCTGGTTGTTATTGCAGCTTCCTGGTTTTACACCAGTACAGCGCCAAAAGGCAGGCATAGCGGCGATATTTGTGCTGACCATGGTTGTTGCAAGCGCATTTCCGAGCGTTCCTCTAATAACTGCTGCCCTATTCACATCAGCGGCACTTATGTTGTCTGGAAGCATGACGTCACGAGATGCAATGGTATGTCGAGCAAGCTAATAACGGTTTGCAAATTATGTGCCAAGATGCTATTCATGCTTCATGTACAGGATTCGCTGGAACTTCCAGTTTTGATCATGATTGCTGCTGCATTTGGGATATCGGAAGCTCTGGTTCAAAGTGGTGCAGCAGACCTTGTTGCTCAGGTCTTGATGGGCTTATCCGGTGGAACACAGGTATGGATGTGACTTTTCAAGCAATCGTTGCATCATGTGTTTGGCAATGATCTAATCCACGATTGTCTTTCAGATTGGCCTGCTAACCTGCACTTATGTGGCAACGACGGTTTTCTCTCTGGCTATTACAAACAACGCTGCAGTGACTATTATGTTCCCAGTAGCACTTGCGGCCGCACAACAGCAGGGTCTAGATTTTAGGCCATTTGCGTACATCCTAATGATGGCTTCTTCTGCGGGCCTCATGACTCCCACTGGTTGCGCTACAAACATTATGGTTTACAACCCTGGAGGTTACAAATTTGTTGATTACATTGCATTTGGAGGGCCTCTGCAGGTGAGACACTTGCCAAATGCCTAGCACAGGCAGCTGACCCTGGCTGACGGAAACATTCTTCCTGCTTGGCAGATTGTGCTTCTGATTGTGACTGTCGGCGTGACCCTGACGTTGAGGTTTTGGTGGATATGGTGGACTGTGCTCATTGGTGCCACTGTCTTGCTCACACCAATTCTTGCACGCCAGGTGAGTCTTGCAGAGCTGCCTTTTCTCTGTTTCTGCCAAACACTTCTCAATTATTGCTCTGCTGCAGAGCTGGAACCTCCCACACAATTCACGTGTGTTTCACGATGATGCACCTGAAGTACCACTTTCAAGCATTACGGAACAAGAACCGGCTACAATCTCGGTGACAACGGAGGGAGGTGTGAGGAACTCTATTGCAGCAGATTCGTTATCACCAACTTATAGGCGCTCTTCTGTAGGTGTAGAGAAGTCGATCCCCAGCCAATTTATTTAAAGTGGATAAGTAGAAATGATGTATGCTGCTGAACATTATGGCCAACAGTTCTTGTTTTTAACCTTTACAATTCGCTCCTGCAAATTTTACTTACCAATTGAATCACACTAAAACGCAATGACAGCGAGAGCCTGGAGTACGCCCTTCAAACTGTCACTTCTGCGGTTCGACTTTTCCACAGTATCACATCCTCCCCCTGCCAGAGTGGAAGCTTGACTTATGACCTCTAAATCTAACCGTCGCTCAGAATGGCCGAGTGGCTCTCCAACATCGTACAACAACTCTCGCCTCGAGAAGAATCACGCCCCCCATTGGTATCTCCAAAGAGTAGTCACCGGCAACCAGCGCCCGTCTCTAAGGCTCGCGCAAATACCGTGATAAGTCCGAGTCAGAAGAACACTTCCAAGACAATGGCCTCCGCCGTGGCCAAGGTTGAAACGCCAGAGACTTCAGTGGCCGCAGAAACGCCTTCACTTGAAATGCAATTCCAAGCGCGCAGCAAAGAATTGTTGCAAGAACAACCAAATCTGGTGCCTTTGAGCGACGGCGGGCAACCTAACTCGGATGGCGAATATGGGAAAGCGGATGCAGACGCCGCGAGTTCCAGCCCGGTAGCGTTGGTAAAACCAGGAGATTCGGCAGGAGGCTTGGTGTCCGGCGTAGAGGGTGTCAAGGCAACGACAGGCACTTCACCCACTGAAGCAACAGCAGCAGGAACGTTGGCGGGATCTCCTAAATTTGCAGCTGACATGATGCAGAGCGCCCAGTCCGCAGTTTCTTCTGGGCCTCAAGGCAGAGCCGTCACCAGCAATGGGAACAGCAAGGCTGAGAGCAGCGGGAACAGTGGTGGGAGCAGGGGCACTGAGGACGAGCATACACGAAAGAGCCCTAGGAGCACCAGCACGACAGACCGCGTTAAAGGTCCAGCCAGCCCCACAAAGAGGAGAACCCTTCCAGTACTCCCGGGTGAAACCAGTGCAGGTTCTAGTCGGCAGGACGAGAATAACAACAATCAATCCAAGCGAAGCAGCGGTTCAGGTAACAACAGCGGGACGAGTGACACGGGAAAGTTGTCAGCGGAGGATTTCCGTAACGCTGTTGCAAGTGGTTCAAGCCCAAGGGAGTCGATTTTACACAATACTGCTGCTGTTCCTCCTGAAGAGGTGCTGTTGCCAGTGGCTGGCATGGTGGGAGGAGATTTGGCAGCGATGATCAGCAGCACGAGGGCTTGTCTGTATGAGGCCACGGAGTTCTTTGTGGCGTGGCAAGGCGTGCTCACGGTGGCGTATTCAGGGATTCCTCCTGCTCTCTGTGAGGTACGATGAGTTAACGGACCTTGACGAATCGGGAGATTCGGGATATGGTGGGAGCTCGAAGGGCTTGCACTTGCTGTCTTTCTGCCCATTTTTTTGCACCCATCATAGTAGTGTTTTAAATGTCAACGGCTGTGTTGTTCCCATGCCCTATCCTCCTCTTCTTCAGCTGAAAGATCGCATGGGAGGAGCATTGCAAAGTATGGTGCCTGAGAATCCTGGCTCGCGATGGCCGAAGACCACCCTGGCGTGTCTGCGGGACGACCAGAGGCTCACACCTGAGCAGCTATCCACCCTGAGGGATATCTGCAGGTCAGTACCTATGCTTTCTCAAGTTCAAAGTTTTAAAGGAATGGTTATAAATTGGCGCTTGGAGTTGTGTCACACCACAGTCAGCCTTTTGTTGTATTGTGCTATGCTACAATCAACCCACCTCGTCTCTCTTGCTGCGTCCTTCTCATCCCAACCCACTCCAGCACTATGAGCTTTCAGCTGGCCCTCGCCCCGCCTGTGGTGGTGGACACCCTCTCTGTGGTGCTCTACGAGAACTGCTGCCTGGAGAAGCTGATCGCTGCTACCCACATTCCCTTGCAGCATCCTGTAGACCCCTCACCCCCGTCGCTCGAGCAGCGGCAGTACGTGCGTGGTGTGGTGGACGAATTCGGTTCCAAGAACCTTGCGAAATACTGGCTGCATGCCTCAAAAGATGGTGAGTCTGGAATGAGGATTGGAAGGGGAATGGTGTAACAGTTATGGGTAGTTGGGAGAGACGGGGACGGTTTATATTGATGAGGTGTCTCTTCTTTCTTTTTCAATCCTAGCCTGTTCTCCTTGCTGTTGCCTCGGTCCTCCCATCATTCCGTCCACGCTATTCCTCACCCCACCTGCGCTACACCTCCAGGCAATCGATCGAGCCACTACCGCAAGCCCAAGATGGGAGCCACAGTGGTTCACTTTCTGGCACCCCACGAGGTGCCTGCGGCTCTTTCTGTCTTCAGGCGCCTGGTGGACACTGCCCTGCCGGGCCTTTATGAGTGGTTCTCAGATGACTCCCTACATATCACTCTCCGTGCCCTTTGTTGAACGGTGGGTGCATACGTGTGAAAAAACGCCTGCCCATCTCTGCTTGGTCTCGTACCGTCTCCTTTCTACCCTGCTCTTCACCCCCTTCTCTCATCCCTTCACTCTTCCTCTACCTCTTTCAGTACCAGAAGTCGTTTTCCTCACACCTTTCCTTTGTTGTGATGCATGCCCGTACTAATTGTATGTGTCATGCATGTTCCGTGCATGTTGCTGTGCTTGTGTTGCTGGACAGTCACATGTTCTCTGCAGATCGTTGTACAGAAATCCGTGTTCCGATATTTAGTTTTGCGGTGAATTATTCCGCCGCGGTGAACTTGGCAGGAACCGATGCCGCATAGGATTTTATTCATGTGTGTTTAATCTTTCGGGAACTGTTTTTATGCTGCTGTTATTGTTTCCTCATGCTGGTACTGATGCTGCCTGTGAAATCCAGTATCTGACCATATGGTATAGTAGTTTGTTCTGTGCATCATGCAGCACGCTACAAAGCAAAACAAAACATCAGAACCACACAGGCCCAGGCCCCAAAAACTACGGACAAACTCAACACTAATACTCCTGACAGGACAGCAGCTTGATAGTCAGCCAGTCAGTGAGACTATATCATGATTGACACTGAGATCGCAGTCAGAGAAGCAGAGCTTGTTCGCGATGGTTAAGAGGACAATCAGCTGAAATAGTAGCTGAGCGCGAATTGAGTCGGGTTGAAGCGAGACAGAAGGGCTGGTGGCAGTTGCATGGGGACGCATGACAGGATCAGATGCCAATGCAGGACAGCATGCCATTGCATGCAGGGACGGGGTATGAAAGGGAAGAATAAAAACGGGGCGATTCACATGTGATGCATTTTGCATGTCGAATGGTATGGGATGAACCGAGGGGTTGTGGGTATACATGGCATGTGTTGAGTGAGGTGACAGAAGTAAACAATCAAGCGGTAGTTGTGCAGGGTTTGCCATGCCCCGTTGCGAGTGAGGGAGTGTGGGGGTGTGTTATATAACAGTGATGCATCACACTCGTTCAGCAACAGCTGATCCTGATCATAGCACGGAACTCACATATAGGGAAGAGAAGCAGCAGCAAGGGCATGGGGTAGAGCAGAACAGTGGTCTTGTCTAGGAAAGGCAGAACTGCAGCCACAGCATGGAACAACAAGGAAACAATCAGGAAAAAAACAAGGGGATTTACAGGACAGCAAATAGGGACTCGAAGAAAGTCGTTGCCGGAGTTGGAACAAAAAGACCACAGAAAACAAGAATGGAAAGACAACAGTACACAATCTCAGGCGAGAGGTAACGGACGGCTTACCGTCGTAACCCAGGAAGTTGAGGTAATGGTAATAGGAGAAGGCGACCAAGTAGAGGGTGTTGGAGAGCAGGAGAGGGATGAAGCCGGGAGCAAGGAGGAGCGGCGAGAGGAAGTATTGGACGACTGGGGAGACCGACAGGTGAGGTTTGCATTGGAAGTTTTGCAAGAGGTGGGGTGTGGGGAGTGAAGGGAAAGAGGGGAGTGGAGCAAAGAGAGGGTGAGATTTGATGGGTGTGGGGCAACACAGACGGAATTCAAGTTTATTCAAATGCACAAAGAAAGAGCGAGCAAGGTTTGACTGGTGTGGGGCAAATATGGATGGATCATGGCGAGTGGGGTAAGGCAGTGCAAACGAGGTGAAAGAGTGTCTCGGATAAAAGGTAAGGGGAAATGGAAGGGGAAAACCATTCGCGACAACAAAAAAGCAGAGGCGGTGGGTGGCAAGGCTCTCACCGTAGAGCAGGACAAACAGAGGGAAGTAGGCGTTGCAATGCACGTCAAAGGCATACAGCCTGCACGAGAAGGGCATCGTGCACAGCACACAGGTCAAGGTGGAGAGGTGCAGGTGAACAGGTGGGTTTGGCTGAACAGCCATGAAGTGGTATGGTTTGGCATGGATTCGCATAATGCAAAGGGAGGGTGTGGCTGCAGAGTGGGATGGCATTCGTGACAATATGGTGCATGGCGCTGGGGCAGCACATGGCTTTGCATGATGCATGCATACCCCGAACCCAATACGCCATGTCCCATGTCCCCCACATGTCCCCTGCCCCCTGCCTCACCACTCCACCTTCTGCTCCACTGCATGTGACGCCACGCCCCCAGTGTCCCTCAGATACCGGTTGCACACAAACCTGGTGGCGGGAGGGGGTGAGAGCAGGGGGACATGTGGGGGGGGCATGGGGTATAGCGTATTCGGTTTAAGGCATGCTCCTTCTGCTCCACTGCATGTGATGCCACATCCCCAGAGTCCCTCAAATACCGGTTGCAAACAAACCTTGTGGCAGGAGGGAGCGGGTGCGGCGGTTGGGAGAAGTGAGGGGAGGGATGGCGGATGCAGAAGAGGAGGGGGGGAGAGAAGGGGGAGAAAAGGAGCGGGAAAAGGAGGGAAAGGTTGGGAGAGGGAAGGGAGAGGGATGGGAGGGAATGAGAGAGGGATGGGAGGGGGGTGGGAGAGGGATGGGAGGGGATGGGAGGAGGAGGAGAGAGAGAGATGGGAGAGGACGGGAGAGGACAGGAGAGGATGGGAAAGGGATGGCATAGGATGAAGAGCAGTGCATCCATGCAGTTGACTATGTGGACGTATCACGTGTGTGTATGCGAATGCATGCATATGCATGTATAAGTGACTGTGCGGAAGTGAGGTTGCATGCATGGATGCAAGGGTGCGTGAATGCATGCAGGTGCGTGCATGCATGCAGTGCAGGTGCATGCATGCGACAGTACCAGCAGAGAGTGGCGATGGCGGCACCAATGAGAAGGAAGTCAAAGACCACCACTGAAAACACCGTCAGACCCGCCTGCGCGATGCCATGCCCGTACCTGCATGCACGCATGCACAAATGGAGGGAGGAACGCATGCATGGATGCACACATGTACCCACCATGCACACATGTACCCACCATGCACACATGTACCCACCATGCACACATGTACCCACCATGCACACATGTACCCACCATGCACACATGTACCCACCATGCACACATGTACCCACCATGCACACATGTACCCACCATGCACACATGTACCCACCATGCACACATGTACCCACCATGCACACATGTACCCACCATGCACACATGTACCCACCATGCACACATGTACCCACCATGCACACATGTACCCACCATGCACACATGTACCCACCATGCACACATGTACCCACCATGCACACATGTACCCACCATGCACACATGTACCCACCATGCACACATGTACCCACCATGCACACATGTACCCACCATGCACACATGTACCCACCATGCACACATGTACCCACCATGCACACATGTACCCACCATGCACACATGTACCCACCATGCACACATGTACCCACCATGCACACATGTACCCACCATGCACACATGTACCCACCATGCACACATGTACCCACCATGCACACATGTACCCACCATGCACACATGTACCCACCATGCACACATGTACCCACCATGCACACATGTACCCACCATGCACACATGTACCCACCATGCACACATGTACCCACCATGCACACATGTACCCACCATGCACACATGTACCCACCATGCACACATGTACCCACCATGCACACATGTACCCACCATGCACACATGTACCCACCATGCACACATGTACCCACCATGCACACATGTACCCACCATGCACACATGTACCCACCATGCACACATGTACCCACCATGCACACATGTACCCACCATGCACACATGTACCCACCATGCACACATGTACCCACCATGCACACATGTACCCACCATGCACACATGTACCCACCATGCACACATGTACCCACCATGCACACATGTACCCACCATGCACACATGTACCCACCATGCACACATGTACCCACCATGCACACATGTACCCACCATGCACACATGTACCCACCATGCACACATGTACCCACCATGCACACATGTACCCACCATGCACACATGTACCCACCATGCACACATGTACCCACCATGCACACATGTACCCACCATGCACACATGTACCCACCATGCACACATGTACCCACCATGCACACATGTACCCACCATGCACACATGTACCCACCATGCACACATGTACCCACCATGCACACATGTACCCACCATGCACACATGTACCCACCATGCACACATGTACCCACCATGCACACATGTACCCACCATGCACACATGTACCCACCATGCACACATGTACCCACCATGCACACATGTACCCACCATGCACACATGTACCCACCATGCACACATGTACCCACCATGCACACATGTACCCACCATGCACACATGTACCCACCATGCACACATGTACCCACCATGCACACATGTACCCACCATGCACACATGTACCCACCATGCACACATGTACCCACCATGCACACATGTACCCACCATGCACACATGTACCCACCATGCACACATGTACCCACCATGCACACATGTACCCACCATGCACACATGTACCCACCATGCACACATGTACCCACCATGCACACATGTACCCACCATGCACACATGTACCCACCATGCACACATGTACCCACCATGCACACATGTACCCACCATGCACACATGTACCCACCATGCACACATGTACCCACCATGCACACATGTACCCACCATGCACACATGTACCCACCATGCACACATGTACCCACCATGCACACATGTACCCACCATGCACACATGTACCCACCATGCACACATGTACCCACCATGCACACATGTACCCACCATGCACACATGTACCCACCATGCACACATGTACCCACCATGCACACATGTACCCACCATGCACACATGTACCCACCATGCACACATGTACCCACCATGCACACATGCACACATACGTGTCACATAGGGGCATGCATGGGCGCAGATATACAGCATGATTGCAAGCACATCATGCAAACACATGAGAGGATGGATGGAGGGGCGGACGGAGGAGGGGAAAGAGAGACGGAGGGAGGCAGACAGGCAGGGAGGGAGAGAGGAGAGAAAGTGAGAGGCCGGTGGGTGTGTGATAAAAGCTAGTGATTACTATATGTGGAAAAGGGGGGAGAGGAGATGACACAGCAGAGCATACACATACGGGCGCTCTATTGCATAGCACACACGTGTGGAATGGCAAGGCATCCCATCCCATCCCATCCCATCCCATCCCATCCCATCCCATCCCATCCCATCCCATCCCATCCCATCCCATCCCATCCCACTCCATCCCATCCCATTCCATTCCATCCCATCCCACCCCACCCCACCCCACCCCACCCCACCCCAACCCACCCCATCCCACGTCATACGCAATGCAGTAGGAGCTGGCGGAGATGGCGAGCAGCATGGCGGAGATGACCATAAACGCAGGGTCGTCCCTCGCCCACTGGTTCTTCGTCTCTGCCCGGCGCACAGGGGGACGGGGGAAAGGGGTGGGGGGAGGAAGGGGGCGTGGGGAGCAGCGAAAGAGGGGAAGCGGGGAGAGGGGAGGAGGAGCATGCAGGTGAGGGAAATACAGGGGGGGCAGTGGGGAGACGCAACGAGGCAAGGCGGGAAGGGCAGGGAGGGGCATAGCGGGAAGGATGGGCGGCATGGGACGCATGGGACGCATGGGACGCATAAGAGGGGACAGGGGACCCATGGGGACACGGGAGGTGGGGTTCCTAGATGGGCACTGGGGGGGCATGAGGGGACATGGGGGGGCATAGGGGGAATGAGGCCAACTGGAAGTATGAAGCGCGAGGCACGAGGGGCTGGAGGCGCGGAGCAGGAGGGTTAAAGGGCAGGAGAGCGGAGAGGACGGAAAGCCGGGGGGCGGAGGGCAGGGGGGCGGAAAGCAGGGGGGGAGAACAGGGGGGCGGAGCGCCGGGGGGCGGAGAGCAGGGAAGGCGGAGAGGACGGGGGCGGAGAGGAGGGATGGCACTTACGTTTGTGGTACTTGGTGTGTTGGTAGCTGGTGGGGTGGAGCGAGACCACGTACAGGCAAAGGGATAGGGGAAAACGGGGAGGGGGTGACGGGGGGAAGGAGATGGTGAGGCCGCAGGTTAGGGTGCATGGTGGGAGGAGTTGATTCAATGAACGGGCCGGGCATGAGGGTGTGACATGCAGAAATAGAGACAGAGAGTGTGATTGTCGTTTCCATTACCTCTCGTGCCAACACTCGTGTTAGTGGTGGCACGAAGTGAGAACAGAACGGCGTGCGTGCGTGAGTGAAGCGTGTGCGCGCGTGGGTGCGTGCGTGCATGCGTGCATGCGTGCGTGCGTGCGTGCGTGTCAACGGCACGTACACGACGCGCGGCGTGAGGCAGAGGTGCAACATTTGCCAGAAGCAGTACTCCGCGTCCATCTGCTGCCACTGCGCGCCCGCGAATCACGGCGGCAGGAGCGGTGCAAGAGGAGGGGGCCCGACGGCGGTGGCGCATGCGCGGGCGTACGGGGGCAAAGGACAAATCAGAGTCACTTTTTAGAATTCTTAATTGGTAGGAAAAGAGATCTTGACGGTGGCGACGCAGAAAGTGGGGGTGGGGGGTCGCGAGAAGAAGAGCGGGACGGAGAGTGAGAAGGGGAGCGGGGAGGGAGGAAAGAGAAACGGCCAGTGTCCACGTGTACCTTAACAATTCGTCGCAGGTATTGCGGCAGGCTGGACTGCTGCCGAACGGGCCCCGGACGGCTGACCCGACCCATAGTGGGTAACATGGTGGCCGCGGCGCGAGGGTGTGTTACGAATCGATTCTAAACACGGAGGGCGAACGCGAGACGGGGTGCGAGGAGAGGTAGGAGAGGAAGCGGAAGGCGGGAAAGAAGGCTGCGACGGAACGATAGGATGACGCCTACAACGCCTGGGAAAATAATTGTCACCCTAAATGGGTCGACAATCGAGCTCGGTCTACGGATTAGTGGCAGCGTGTCGAGAGACAAACGCGATCGCAGGATCCGCTTATTGGACGGCGCCGCGGTTGAGAAAATGACGGAACTCGCCGGACCGCGAGCATGCGTGAGGTTCCTAGCGTCGAAAGAACATAATAGGAATTGCCACGCTGGAGTGAGGCAGCTTATGGTGCTGTCAGTATGTCGCAGGTCGCGAAGCACAAGGCCTAAGGAAATTTAGGAACTTGCCAGACAATACCCGAGATCTGTGCGTAATGCTATGAAACGCTGGAGCAGCGTGCAACACGATATCCTCGCTGCAGTCATACCGTGAGTTGTTGGAAATCATTTAGTGCATAGAAATCCAACTTCTCAAGCCTTGCTAACTTTATGACAATAAACGAGGAAATTTCACCTGTACAGTATTTAAATTAGTATACTTATGACACACTTGAACACTTCGAAATTACTCTTCGAACTATTTACTTCCCAGTTCCAACCCTCAGCGTCCTTGACTGGAGAGGGACCATCTGGGGGGGTTCATTGGTCAGTTTGGGGATACTATCGAAGGACGTCGCGGACCGCATCTGAGACCTATGCTTTGCGTGGGACGTGAGTGGGACCGCTTGACCATTGGAGTTGATGGCACCAGTCCCTTCTCGACAAGCCCTGACATGCTTCCGTGGACGAGCCGCCAGGGGGAGTAGATCCTAGGGCATGTTTTGTTTCACGCCAATCTGCCATTTTTCAATTCAGGAGTTTCCGAGATGAGGGGGCTGGTTGCTTTTCTCTGTAAAGAACACCAATGATACATCCTCTCGGTTCCCACTCCCGGTGTCCAACCCCGAATCAAGCTAGCACGTGAAATTCGCGCCGAAAGAATCCTGATCTCAGCCAATATCCCATTAGCCCCCGCAAGACGCGCCACGTAATTACCCTGGCGCATCCCCCATTCGTCCATCCTGCTAAAAACGGGGGCTGTCAGACAAAGAATCTGACAGTTGTGCATCCAAGGGCATCCAGCAACGCAAACCAGCCCTTGTGTGGTGTGGCGGCGAGCGTGTCCCTCCCCTCCCTCGGCCCAGGCTCCCCCAGCCCCAGCCCAACACGAAGCCTGAAGGGGCAAATATGCCAACTCCTGCCTCTTCGATCCTCAGTCCAGCACTACTGCTATTCAGCAGTTCAGAAGTTCTGAATGCAGCAATAGCATTCCCCGTTGGGACCCCCTGTCATGGCTGAGTTAGGCTCTGACAAGAGCTTCTAAGAACTTGGCTCGTGGTGTCTTTCCGGGAGTGACCCGCAATAGCAGCGGGCTAACCGCCAACTAGCTTGCTGACTGCCTAGTCTCCCTCGAGAGCAGCGCTCGCGATGGGGATGCACCGACAATATGTGCCGCTCGACTCCACCAAGGGGTATGAGCTATTTCCTCCCGCTTCCTCCTCCACCTGACGACCAGAGAAGCCCACTGCATTACCCTTCCTCGTGGTCTTCTGATGCTTTGACAATAGTTTTGCTGTTGTTGCTAAAATCTTTAGTGGCTTCCATCCCTTCGTTAAGCACTAGCAGCTGTCAGGCAGATCTAGTCCAATGGACGCGCCAAAGTTTTGCGTTCACAAACTTTACGTTAACCAGAAACGGATCTGAGCAAATGAGATCTAAGACAGGAGGCCATTATGAGCTTTAACGAATAAATCTTCGCTGGGTCAGAGGTCAACCTCAACGGTCCATGTCTCGTTTTTTTCACATGCATTCCGAGCGGGCCATGTACCGCGCGGCAGTATATGCTCAAGCCTTGTCGGCTTTTTCGAAACTTCTGCTACACACGATCCGTCTTCCCACTATCTCCCCCACTGTCTCATGCGGCTCAAACGCATCATTTCATTCATTTGCCTCCTCGCCCTTCTCCTCCCATCGCCTCCCCCGTGCCCTCTCCCAGGGGCAAGTCCTCCGCTGCAGTGCTGGTGGTGGCGATGATCGGCAGTGTCGCCATCCTCGTCATCTCCGTGTTCATCGGCGTCAAGCTCGCGCAAATGCAGGGCATGGAACCACCGCCACCGCCCGCGAAGCTTCCGCCTCCCCCCGTGAACGTCACGATCACGTCCAAGATCCAGATGGCCCTCATGTTCCTGCAGTCGCAAAAATGTAAGTTCTTAAAGTGATGCATAGATCTGACGAGCAAAGTGTCTCCGAAAACATCCACCTCGCTGGTTGCCTACTTGTTCGCTGCGCCTCGGCGCCATGCTTTTCAGGCACCATAGGAAACGGTCTAGATCTACTTCTGCTCACTCAGGATCAGCGCTTGTATATTGAGTATGTGGCACCCCGTACTTGTCGCATATCCTTAACCTCATCCGTTTCGCCGTCCCACGTGCGTGCGCCCTCCCACCTGCAGCGGGTAAGCTGAACCCAGGCTTCCCCGTCACGTGGCGAAGCGATTCGGGCTTGCAGGACGGGCGGGATCAGAACCGCGATCTGCGAGGCGGGTACTACATCGGCGGGAGCAACATCAAGTACCACTTCCCGATGGCGTATACCGTGACCATGCTGTGCTGGGCGCTGCTGGAATACGAGTCCGTGTTCCGGCTCGTAAATATGCACAACGAAATGGCGGAGCTTATTGACTGGGGTGTACAGTACATCCTCCGTACAAGATACGAGGACCTAATTTTTGCTCAGGTAAGGCTGCGCGACCCGCTCCGATGTACTTGTTTCAACTGGTCCTCTTCAGTCCCACCGATGTGTAACATTTGATATCTGAAGAAAACGGGAAACGAAAGTCAATGTACATCTATCCGTGTTTTTTCGCATCTGTCGGTGTTTTCTAGGTGGGCACGCCCGAGATCGACGACGTGTGTTGGATCCGGCCCGAGGACATGAGGCCCGCGCAGCGCCCCACCATGTTCCCGTGCGACATTGCGCATCCCTGCTCCGACCTCGCGGGGGAGTACGCCGCCGCGCTCGCTGCCGCATCGCTCACCTTCCGCGTTGGCAACCCCTCTTACGCGGACGTACTTCTGAGAAACGCGGCGGAGATTTTCGAATACGCGGATCAGTACCGCGGGAAGTACAGTGACTGGGTCGAAGCAGCGCAAACAGAGTACAATTCTACCGGGTATGGCGACGAGCTCATGTGGGGTGCCACGTGGCTGTACTTCGCGTCGGGTGATTCAAAGTATCTGGACTACGTGGTCGGGCCGAATTCGTACATCTTCGAGACAAACCAGTGGGGTCCCGGCACGAAGACGTTCGACTGGGACAACAAGGCGCCCGGCGTGCAGGTAAGCTGGTTAGGGTCGTATTACAGTAGTCGACGAACCCAAGGTTTTGTCCAATACTTGCTGCAAATGCGTCCGTTTCATCTCATGCACACATCTCCAGGCCGTGGTGCCTTTCCCCCCTCTAATTTCCAATCGCGCGTTTTCCTGGCGCCGGCGCACAGTATGCTCACTCGCTCCCTCCCCTTCCGTGGGTCTGGCTGTGCAGGTGCTGATGACGCGGCTGCTGATGCTCGGGTACGGGGCGGGCAACGAGGGGCAGATCCCGCAGTACCTGCAGACGTACCTGAACGCCGCGAAGCTCTACGTGTGCCAGCACACGCCGCACTGGCTGCACGCCAACTTCACCGACAGCGGTACGTCTCCCTTCCGCCGGCCCCAGTTGTGTCTGTCCGTGTGTCCTTTCGTCACTCGTTGAACCATCACCCAACAATCAGTTCCTAGATTGCGACAGAAATGGATCAGACTGAACTATACCAGTTGGGACATTGGGGACATGTTGGCTCTATGCGCTGAGAGATCTTGTGTTTTGAAATGCATTTTGCCCATCGTCGCGTTATGTGCTGCTGCCCTCTCGACCGGGGCGTGCAGGCGGGCTGATCTACGTGAGCGACGACCATCCGATCCAGTACGCGGTGAACGCGGGGTTCCTGTCGGTGCTGGTGAGCGACTACCTGCGCATCGCCATCAACGCCAACGTCTCGTCGCACTACCTCGACTGCGACGCCACCATCGATGACATCGTCGACTTCGCCGCCTCGCAGGTGCGTCAGTCACCCACCATGCGGATTTGCAGCCCGGGCAGGCTGTAACCAGCATTAGGGTTGCTGCTGACGCTTCACGAAGTTACGTGCTAGACGTGATGGCTGTTCGCGAGACAGCTTTCTTCACCGGACATTTCTGCTGTCGTGCGTCTTCAGTCTCGTCTGTTTTCCGTAATTGATTACTGGTTCCTTCCCGCCTTCGGTATTACATCCTCACCTGTGCAGGTGAACTACATCCTGGGCGACAATCCCCAGAAGATGAGCTACATGGTGGGCTTTGGCGACAACTACCCCACGCGCGTGCACCACAGAGCCGCCTCCATCACGTCTAAGCATGTGGACCCCACGGCCTTCGACTGCGTCACCGGCCGCAAGTTCAAGAAGTGAGTTTGATGCCTTTGCACGATGTTGATGTTGATAACATTGTTGCCACCTTGATAGCCAGAAGCTCGCATGACATGTTGTGAAATAAGCAGCCATTATGCCAAGGAAGCATTGCAGGATTATGCAGCTGCCCACTATATTCACATTGGAAATCCATTTGCCTTGTTTGTCTAACAAATACGTTGTATCTCACCAAGTGTTCCACCATCCTTGGTTCCCCGTGCCTCAGGTCTAAGTACCCCAACCCAAACGTGCTGGTGGGAGCAATCGTGGGTGGTCCAGGCCGGGACGACACATACCTGGACGACCGCACAATCCCCCAGCAGAGCGAGCCTCTCCTCTACGTCAACGCTGTCTTTGCCGGCCTCCTCGCCGGCCTGGGCGCCTTCCGCAGCGGCAACAGCCCTGGCAACTCGCTCACGCGCATGTGGGCGCAGATTCCCTGGGCCAAGAAGTACGCCGAGTCCCTTGAGGAGCTCATTCCCAAGCCCTACCCCTCGCCACCCAAGCCGCCCGTCTCCCCTCCCCCCTGGAGGACCCCTCCCCCCAAGGCCCCCAAGTTCCCCCCCAAGCGGAATGGCCCCAGCCCTCCCCCTCCGTATGTCAACCCCCCGCCTCCTTCGCCTCCTCCCCCAAGCCCCCCTCCTCCGCGCCCTGTCAAGAAACACACCGCCCCTGCGCCGCCTCTCTTTTACAAGGGCCAGGGGAAATACAAGGCTCCGGCTGGTGCAGATCTCCCCGCTGCTCCCGCTGCGCACACGGCTCCCGTGAAAGAGATTCCGGCCACGCTCACGCCTGTTCCGGATCCAGCTGCTGGTGCTGCCGGTTCTGCAGGGGGAGGCCTGCCGGCAGGGAACCCTAACGTGTTCCCTTGATATTGCTGTTGTGTAGTTCATGGAATTAGGTGTGTAGTGTAGGTTGGAAGGCCTTGCTGCGACATGTTTGATTTAGGTGACTTCCGTGGTGCTGAGCTTTTCAGCTGAATAAAAGCTCTGATTTTCACACCTGCGGAGCATGTATGAGAAGAAAAACAATTACATGATGCAGTAGAACCAGTCTCCACAATATACCACCTGAAACACCTCCCGTGCACTCTACCTTTTTCCGAGGCACTTCAATGCGAGGATGTATCGTACCCAATCGCCTTGCTGGCTCTGGCGGCAGCCTCGATGATCCCGTCCCGTAACCCGTTTCCCCCCAAATCTCTCGGTCGGGAGTCGGGACGGGGAGGGACTCGGGAGGACGGGACTGTTGGGGTCGACGGGACCATTCTGATTCCTCCAGAACCGTTAGGGAGAAGGGAGGGAGGTCGTGGTGCAGGTCGGTCGGGAACATTGGGTGGGTGGATCCTGACGGTGCCTCTACTCCCACCGATAGTGCCGGAAAGCAGTACAATACAGTACAGCGTGCCATACCCATTATCCACCCAACCAACCACACGTTGAATGATTTGCCAAAACCACCGTCTTTCTTTCCGTTCCGTGTGCTGCTGATTGACCAGCTGAATGAAGCTGAGTGAAGTGACGCAAAGCAAAGCAGCAGCAACGGGTAACTTCCCTGTGCCACGTAAGCCCACTTCTACGAGTCTCTCGTCTCTGGACTCCCGTGTAGCGAGCGTGTTGGTCGCACAACATCCGCAGCACAACGAGAGCAACCGAGACTGTTAAACACCTACTATAGTATCGTCCTAGTCCTCCATTTTGCTGTGTTTTGAGTCGACTCAAAAGATACACTTGCACACCTACCTCTAGTATCGTCCTACTCCATATCGATACGGTACCTATTTTGACTCAATTGCAACAGTCCACTGTGAAGTGGCTGTGAACCGTCGATTGAATCCAGGCGCTTCGACGGACAAGAGTGAGCTGTGGAGTGATGCGCGGGAGCGCTGGATTCACGTACGGTGACGAGTAGCGGAGGTGGCGCAAGCAGCGGAAGCACCGGAGACCGCGGAGGCAGCGGAGGCAGCGCGAGCAGCCGAGGCATCGGCGGAAGTTGCAAGAGCAGGATCACCGGCAGTATTAGCGGCGCGCGGAACAGCGGCAGTGGCGGCGGTAGCGACAGTAGATGGCACTTTAACGCGCGAGCTGGCGAGCCGCATGTCACGCTAAGACCGTCTCACTCCGCGCCGATCCTGGATGCGGATCGGCGGTGGGGGTGGCGGAACAGTCCGCGCATCACTTCCGCGCGCACACCGTTCCCCATGGACGTCTTACCGCCCATCCATCAGCTTCCGCCTTCGTCCGCCACTGCTGCGGCTTCCGTCTCCGCCTCCGCCTCCTCATCCGCCTCCGCGCCTTCAATCTCCGCCCCCGGTTCCGCTAATTCCGCGACTTTCCCTTACGCCGCCTCGTTCTCGTGGCTATCCTCCGCCGTGCTCCGCCTCCCCCCGTCCTTCTGCTCCGCGCTATCTATTCGCAAGTCCTCGTTCATCCCCACGCTCATCGCAGCGCTCCTCTTAACTCTCGCCGCGTCTCGCTTCGTCTCGCTCCCCGTCGCGTCCCGCGTGCCGTCCTCCCGCGCCGCGCATGTCGACGCGGATGCGCTGGCGGAAGCCGGCCACTTGGCGGAAGGGCCCGCGGAACGGTGGGGGCAGGGGGAGCGCGGGAAGACCAGGGCGCAAGAAGGGCAGCTGGTAGGGGCAGATGGGGAAGGAGCGGAAAGTCCAGGGGCGCATGCGGAAAGGGTGAAAAATCCAGGGGTGGAAAGGCCAGGGGTGTATGGGGAAGGTTCTGCTGGTGAGTGGAAGCACGGTAGTGGCGCGTTGAATGAGTCTACAGGCCCGCTGGGCACGGGAAGCGTGGAAGCGGAAGCTATGACTGAGGGGAGGAAAGAGGGGGGGCGCGGGCGAGAGGAGGAGATGGATAATGAAGGCGATTTGAGTGCGGCTGGTTTGGGAGGGCAGGGCGACGGGCGGGAGGACGACGGGGATTCCAGTGGCGCTGTGGCAGCGGACGGGAGGTGCTTGGTTTGTGAGCAGTTAGCGAGGCTGCCTTGTATCGAGGATGCGCCGCAGGTGAGGTGGTTACCAGGTAGCAGTAACGAGGGCGAGGGCGCGGAAGAGGGGGATGTGGTTGGTGGGCTTGGGGAAACAGAGGAGGCAAAGAGGGAGTGGCAATGGGCGTGGGACGACAGGGATAGCAGTGGCAGCGACAGTGCCAGCAGTAAGAGCAATAGCACTCACAGGAGTAGCATCAACAGAACCACCACGACCAGCAGCAGCAGCAGCAGCAGCAGCAAGGAAAGACAGTGTGTATTCCACAAGATGGCAGGCAATGAAGCGTTGAGGCAGTTGGCAGGGACATGGATCGTGGTGGCTGGGGACTCAGAGGTGCGGCAACTGCTGGTAGCGCTGCTGCAGCTGCTGCTGCTGCCTCACAACGACCCGGCAGCCATGGCTCCCGTGCACCGCTTTGTATCGCTGAAACATGCCGATTTTCACCACTATATTCCCTCGCACCGCATCCGGATTGATTTCTTCTGGGCGCCCTTTGCTCCGAATATCACTGCTGCTGTTGCTGCTCTGCCTGCCACTGCTGCCACTGCTGTCGTTGGTGGCACTGGTGGTGCTGCTGCTGCTGGTGCTGGTGGTGCTGCTGCTGCTGGTGCTGGTGGTGCTGCTGCTGCTGGTGCTGGTGGTGCTGCTGCTGCTGTATCTGCTTCTGGTTCGGTCTCTTCTGCTCCTGTGCCTGCTGGTGCTGGCGTTTATCAAGAAGCTGATTCTGCTGCTGCGACCCAGCATATGGATAGCAGCAGCAGCAGATCCAGAAAGGGGAGGATGGGGCAAGAGGTGCAAGGGCAGGACAATGGGCCTGGTGAGAGAACACAGCAGTATCAGCAGCACTCAAGACAGCGGCTGCAAGAGCAACAGCAGGACGAGCAGCGGAAACAGACTCACCAGACGCAGAAGCAGAAGCAGGAGCAGGAGCAGGAGCAGGAGCAGGAGCAGGAGGAGCAATCATCACAACACCAGTCCCAACAAAAGCACGTATTCGTCCCAAGCTCACCCGTCTCCCCCTCATCCCCTCCGTCCACTGCTGCCCCTCCGCCGCTCCCACTAACATGCCCGGACATTGTGATCCTGGGGTCGGGCCTGTGGCACATGCTGTGGGTCACGGACCCGCAGCACTTTGCAGCAGAACTTACGGTTCTCCGCGCAACCGTGCTGCACCTGCTGAGATCCCCCCGCTGCTCCGGCTCTCTGGGTATCTCTGGTGATGATACCGAAGGTGGTGATGGTGCTGCTGCTGCTGCTGCTGGTGGTACTGCTGCTGCTGCTGCTGCTGGTGATGATGATTATGGTATGCGTGAGGGAAGTGTGGAGGCAGGAGGAGAGAGTGTGGACCAAGTTGCAGTGGCTGTAGTGGAGGGAATGAGGAGAGCTGCTGCTAAGGAAGGGAGTGGGGGAGGTGGAGAGGTGGATACGAGGGAGGTGGAGGAAGGAGAGGGGGAGGAGGAGGAGGAGGAGGAGGAGGAGGAGCAGGAGCAGGAAGAGGAGGAGGGAGGTAGAGAAGAGGGTGTTGGGGTGAAGAGGAGAAAGGGGTTGGAGAGGTGGGGTAGTCAGGGCGGAAAGCTGGGTGAAGGGAGAATGAGCGGAAATATCCGGAAAGGGGTAGGAGCAAGGCGGAGGGTACAGGAGGAGGGTGCATCAGGGGTTGCGGAGGATGCAGGAAGAGGAGGTGAGGACGCAGGGGGTGCTGAGGGCGCAGGGGGTGCTGACGGCGAGGATACTAGATTAGGGGCTGAGGAGGCAAGGAAGCACCAGGTAGAGGAGCTGGTGGATGGACCTTCAGAGGAAAATGGTTATGGAGAAGAGAGAGCCACGGGATTTGATGCTGAGGGGGATGAGGATGAGGAGAAGCAAGGAGGAGAAGCAAGGAGGAGCAGAGACCAAGGGGTTGTGCCTGGGGAGGCGAGTGGAAGAGTGGTAGAGAGGCAAAGTGAAGGTGAGGGACTGGGGGTGACAGGGGGGGATGGGAATGGAGAGGTTGAGATGGTGGAGATGGAAGAGGGTGTGGGGGTGGGAGAGGAGGAGGAGCAGGAGGAGGTGATTGGAGGGAAGGTGTTGGGAACAGGACCTACAAATGAGGAAGAACGGACGGTGGGAGGTGCTGGGTTGGCGGTAGGAGAATTGAAGGGATTGCGAGTTGATAGACCGGAGGGAGGTGAGGGAGAGGGAGAGGGGGAGGGAGTGGGAGAGAGAGTGGTAGAGGTGATAGACGAGAGAGAAGTTAAGAGACAAGGAAAGGGACTATGGAATAAAGAGGGGGAGCAAGAGAAGGAGCAAGGGGAGGAGCAAGAGGAGCAACAAGCAGAGGAGGGAAAAGCAGTGGGCAAGGGGAAAGAGCCCAAGGGAAGGGTAGGGGAGATTGAGAGTGCGGACAGTGAGGAAGATGAGGAGGTAAAGGAGGATGAGAAGGAGGAGCAAGATAAGGAGGAGAAGGAGGAGGGTGAGGAAGGGGAGGAAGAGAAGGAGAAGGAGGAGGAAGAGGAGGGGGAGGAGGAGGAAGATGCAGTGGTGGTGCGAGGAGCACCGGTCACGCAGCCTCTCTTCTTCTGGCTGGGCCTCCCAGAGCTCATTCAGTCCCGGCTGAACACTGAGAGGAAAAGAGAGAAGATGTCTCCGCGCATGGTGAAGCTGTATGATGCTGTGGTGCGCAGGAGTGGGTTACTGGTGGAACGGGCGCATGGGACGGTGGGGGGCAGTGTGGGGGGCAGTGTGGGGGGCAGTGTGGGGGGCAGTGTGGGGGGCAGTGTGGGGGGCAGTGTGGGGGGCAGTGTGGGGGGCAGTGTGGGGGGCAGTGTGGGGGGCAGTGTGGGGGGAGGAGAGAGGGCGAGTGAGGAGGATGGAGATGGGAGAGAGGGGGAGAGCGAGGGAGTGGAAGAGCGAGGGGGTGAAGGGGGGGGTGGGAGCAGTGGGGTTAGGGAAGGTGGAGGAGAAAGAGGAGGGGATGGGAGGGGAGGAGAGGAGAGTGGAGGGAATGGGAGGGGAAGAGGGGAGTCGCATCAGGCGGTGGAACTGGGTCCTTGTGTGCTGCTGCCACTGGGGGAGCTGAGTAAGGGGTGTGGTGAGGCGTGCACCCCGGATGGCATGCATTACAATGATGATACGTACGCTGCTGCCGTGCAGATCATGCTCAATCATGCTGCTCGCTTGCTGTAGTTTTGAGGCGCCTCAAAGCTAGGCGTGCACCCTGGATGGCATGCATTACAAGGATGATACATATGCTGCTGCCGTGCAGATCATGCTCAGATTATGCTGTAACACAGTACTAGTTCTGGTCAAAGGATGTATTATTTAGGCATGTGATGAATGAGACCTAGTTAAGTTGTGGTGAGCTGTGCTGCTAGTGTTACACACAGCACACTCAAAATCTGGTGTACGTCATTTCAACTTTCACTCAAAGGGTGACACGTTGTAACAGACAGAATGACTTGGTGCATCTGTTTCCAAGCTCTTAACACAGTGACATCAACATCTGGGGTTCACGGTAAGTGACAACAACAGTGCACTGAATGTACCAGTCACACCACCACACCACTTGGCAACTCCCAACACAGACACCAATTGTATGTGGACGCACCACAAGCAGGCTACCCAAGCGTTCTCCTCGCTCCCTCACTCCCCTCCCTCTTTCCATCCCCTGCTCATCAACGCATACGTGTTTTGGCATCACCGTAACCGCAAGCAGCATCAGACTCCAAAAAAACACAGGAAGGGTTACCGGAGTTGGTGTTTCTACAGGGCAGGGCAGGGCAGGTAGGTATGGGGATGGAAGACCTGCTGAAGGATGGTGGGCTGGCTGGCTGGCTCATTCACACGACAGGGCAAATGGCCTCATCCCTGGCAACTGTGGTGAGGCGATGGAACACCTGTTGCAGGGTGGGCTGGCTCATGCTGAATCCCTCTATGCCCAGCTGCTCCCTGTGCTTTGAGGCGTCTCAAAACACCAGAGGGCACGTGCGAGAAGGACTCACACGACGGGGCGGGGGGCCTCGTCGCGAGCAACTCTGGTGAGGCGATGGAACACCTGTTGCAGTGTGGGCTGGCTCATGCTGAACCCCTCTATGCCCAGCTGCTCCCTGTGCGTCTCCAGCTCGCTCCACACGCGCGCCAGCCCCCTCAGGTCATCTACAGGTACCAGGAACTTCACCTGTACGCACCCACTGCCACCGCCGCTGCTGCTCGCGTTTTCCTCTGAGCCCCCTGCTGCTGCTGCTGCTTCTGCTGCTGTTACTGGTAAAACTGAAGGGTCGAAGACTCCGGATGAAGCTGCTGCGGCTGCGGATGCGGCAGCTGCTGCTGCTTCGGAGGGAATGGCTGCTGCAAGAGTTGCTGGTGTTGCTGAGGCGTCGCTTGGTGGAGAGGCGGGTGGGACGGTTGGGAGCACGGGTCTGGGGTCGCTGTTGTGGCGAGATAGATCACTCAGCTCAACAATTAGCTGCTCTGCACTCACACCTGATGCTGCTGCTCCTGGTGCTGCTGATGATGAAGTGGCGGCAGGTGCTGACGGGGACGCCATCAGAAGCTGCTGCTGCTTTTGATGTTGCTCCTCCTGGCCCCCTTGCAATGCCACATCATCTTCCTCCACTCCCAGCAGATTCCCAACCTCAGGACCAGCACCACCACCACTACCCGTAGCAGCGGCAGGCATGAGTGCAGGAGCGTCCGGGTGCAGGTAATCCGCAGCGTGAGGGGCACGGTCGGAGCGGTCGGAGGTGACAGGCAGAGGAGCAGCGTCGTCGTCGTAGTGCTCGGAGTAAGCCGGGGCGATGGAGGAGAGGAAGACGCGGATGGCAGGCAGGCGGCGCGGGTGGGCGGAGAGAAGGAGCGTGTATGCAGAGCCGTAGCGGGCCTTGAGGGCCTGTGGGGATCCCAGGCACTTGAGCTGGCCGCGCACTAAGATGCCCACACGGGCCCTGGGAGAATGGGGGAGGGGACAAGGGGTGGGGGGGGTGGTGGAGGGAGAAGGCGAGTATTGAGTCAAGTCACGAATTGAGGAGAGCAGGCACTTGAGCTGGCCGCGCACTAAGATGCCCACACGGGCCCTGGGAGAATGGGGGAGGGGACAAGGGGTGGGGGGGGTGGTGGAGGGAGAAGGCGAGTATTGAGTCAAGTCACGAATTGAGGAGAGCAGGCACTTGAGCTGGCCGCTCACATGGGAGCCGGGGGAGTGGGGTGAGGGAGGAGACAGAGGGGGCATTGAGTTCAGCGGGGAGGTGGGATCTGAATTGAGTCAAGATTTGGGCATTCCAGGCACTTGAGCTGGCCGCGCACCGAGATGCCAACATGGGAGCAGGGAGAGCAGGGGAGGGGGAACGGGAAAGTGGAGAGTGAGGGCAAAAAGAGAGGGAGAGGGAGTGGCAGGTGGAAGAAAGGGAAAGGAGGAGGAGGTGGGAGGGGCAGGTGATGGGAGGAGAGAGGAGGGGAGGAAAGAGGAGGGGAGGAGAGAGGAGGGGAGGAAAGAGGAGGGGAGGAAAGAGGAGGGGAGGAAAGAGGAGGGGAGGAAAGAGGAGGGGAGGAAAGAAGGAGGGGAGGAAAGAGGAGGGGAGGAAAGAAGGAGGGGAGGAAAGAGGAGGGAAGGAAAGAAGGAGGGGAGGAAAGAAGGAGGGGAGGAAAGAAGGAGGGGAGGAAAGAGGAGGGGAGGAAAGAGGAGGGGAGGAAAGAGGAGGGCAGGAAAGAGGAGGGGAGGAAAGAGGAGGGGAGGAAAGAAGGATCGCTCAGTAAAAAAACGGGAAAAGCTGAAAAACTCTTCCGAAACAGAAACTTCAGCAGTTTTTTGCAACATGCCGATGGCCACAGCAAACCATCACTGGCTTTCTAGTAACAGTGTGAACATCAGGAGAGGGACAAACCACGAGGAGATGGGAGGAGAGGAGGTGGGAGGAGAGGAGAAGCGATGGGAAGAGGGAAGAGGCGGGAGGAGAGTACACACCCGAGGGCCTCAGCCTCTTCAACAGAGTGGGTGGCAATGAGGGTGGCGCGGTGCGGTGCATCAGTGAGAATGCGGCGCCACAGCAGGCGCCGACTCGCAATGTCCATGGCTGGTGGTGGTGGGGACCACAGGGGATGAGGTGGGAGGTGAGGAGTGGGGAGTGCGAGGGGGAGAGGTGAGCGTAGAGAACACAAGGGTGAGGGGGTTAAGGTGGGTTGGGGGTGGGGTGTGGGGACGAGGGTGGAAGCTGCTGCTGGAACATTCAATCTGGCTGGCTGTCCAAACCGCAACATCCCCATGCCATCAAACCCTCCACCCTCCCAAGGTACCCCCCTTGCGCAAGGTACCCCCCGGGCACCCCTTAAGACACCCCTGACCATCAAACCATGCCCAGAACCCAACAACCCCTGGGGTCACCTTGCGAGGGCTCGTCCAGAAGCAGCACAGCAGGGTCTCCCAAGAGCGCTGCCGCCACTGCCACTCGCCGCAGCAGCCCCGCTCTACACGTGTCTATGCGCTGCGCTGCCTCCGATGCTGGGCGAGTGGGGAGAGAGGGGGGAAAGAATGGGGAAAGAGGGGGGGAAGTGGGGAGCGAAGAAAAAAGGGGGTAAACAGGGGAACGAGGGGGAAGAGGTTGGGAGGAGAAGGTGGGGGAGAGTGTGGGAGAGAGCAAAACGGACAGAGGGAGGTGATGGACGAAGGAATGGGGGAGGGGAAAGGGTAGTGGGAGGGCAGAAGAGCAATAACTGCCAAAAGAACAACCAAGGGGAGCGATAGAACAGCAGAATGAAGCAGAGTAAGAGAGGGAGGAGGAGGCTTACTGGAGATGCCAAGGGATTGCAGCACGTGGGTGACAGGGGCGGGCAGGTTTTGGAGAACAGCTTACTGGAAAATCCGTCAACAGAGCAGAGCATAGCTTACTGGAGATGCCAAGGGATTGCAGCACGTGGGTGACAGGCGCGGACAGGGGCTCCCTGAGTCCCTTGACAGACGCCATGAAGTGCAGGTACTCCTGTACTGTCAGGAACCCATGCATCATCTTCACACGGCGGTGGTAGGGGGAAGTGAGTGGGGTGCAGTGGCGGGACGTGGGATGGAGTGGTGGGAAGTGGGATGGAGTGGTGGGAGGAAGTGGGATGGGGTTCCATGGAGTGGGGTTACATGTCCGGCAATGCAGGTTGTTCGGGCTTTTGGCCGGTTAAATTAAACACTTGGTTTTGCTGCACCACGAAGTTCAAGAACCCTGTGGCCTGTACCATGGAGCCCAGCCCAGTGCCCCCTCTACCATGCCGTGCCGCACTGTGCTGCTTCGCTCAGCCTTACCCGGTCCCTGCCCCTGCCTCTGCCCCTGTGCCTATCCCCCATGCCAGTCCCCAGCAAAAATGTGAGTGCTCGCTCACGTCAGCCTGAGTGCTCGCTCGAGTCAGCCTGTGGGCAGTAGCCGGTAATGGAGGGGTCATTGAGGTACGCTCTTATGGCATGCCGCTTGGTAATGCTGAGGAATTTTCAAAAGTGACACCAGCATCCACGCGAGGGTTTTTCTAACGTCAGCCTGGGGGCAGTATCTCACGTGAGCCTGGGGGCAGTAGCCGATGATGGAGGGGTCGTTGAGGTTGGTGAAGCGCACGCTCTGCCCTGTGATGAGCGCGTTGCCGTACGACAGACAGCTCGCCCCCGCCAGACACTGCACCAGCGTCGTCTTCCCCCAGTGGCCTGTGCCACGAAACCCAGCATTCCCTCTGCCTGTCCCTGTCCCTATCTATCCCTCTCCCTGCCCCTATCCCTGCCCCTGTCCCTGCCCCTGTCCCTGCCCCTGTCCCTGCCCCTGTCCCTGCCCTTATCCCTGCCACTATCCCTGTCCCTAACCCTAACCCCTTCACTATCCCATGCTAGTCCCCAGCATCCATCCACACAAGGGGTTCACATTCACTCACGTCAGCCTGGGGGCAGTAGCCGATGATGGAGGGGTCGTTGAGGTTGGTGAAGCGCACGCTCTGCCCTGTGATGAGCGCGTTGCCGTACGACAGACAGCTCGCCCCCGCCAGACACTGCAGCAGCGTCGTCTTCCCCGCCTTCTCCCCGCCCACCAGCACCACCACCTGATGCATGGCAATCGGTGACACGGGGTGGGTGTGGGGGCACGGGGAGGAGGGAAGGGGAAAGGGGAAGGCGGTGTGGGGGGGAGGAGGGTAGAAAGAACGGAGATTGAACAAAAGGAATAAAAAATGCAGGAGATACATAAAGGAGAAACTGGTGTGGAGGATGAGGGGACAGATGTGTGTTGGGGAATTGAGAGGGAATTGGAGCTGGGAGTATGCAACGGGGAAAATGCATGGCGACACGGAAGACATGACAGTGCGAGTATGCGAGTGTGCGAGTGTGCGAGTGTGGGAGTGTGCACCTGGCCTCGAGGAACTCCCAGCCAGAGGTTCGACACAGCCCACACTCCCGGGTCCTTGCCTATGCCGCATACCCCCGATGACGCTCCAAAGTTCTGACACAGGGAGACCAGTGAAGGCCATGGGGTTGGAGGGGGGGATGGGGGGCAGGAGAAACATAAGAGAGCAACAATGTAAGTTTGACACAGCCCACACTCCCGGGTCCTTGCCTATGCCGCACACCCCTGATGATGCTCCAAAGTTCTGACACAGGGAGACCAGTGAAAGTCAAGGGGGGCGGGGAGGAGGACATAAGAGAGCAACAATAGAGAGAAATGAGGAATGTGGGAAAAATTGAAGCGGTGACGGGAAGAACTGGTTAGATGTGACCCAAATCTTACACTTCCGCACACCCACCCACCCACCCTTATTCCACCCCCTCCTGCACACTCACAACTCAACCTTCCCTCTCAACACCTTGCCATCAGTCTAGCACCAACACCTGCCAACTCACCTTGCCCACACAGTTGCACAGCACAACAATGGCTCCATTTTCCCTTCCATCCCCACCCCTTTTGAGACAGTTTCATTACTCGCCCCAGCCAGCCCTGGACCCACCTTGCCCACGCTGCTGCACAGCACCAGGTCACCCTCCTCGCCGCCACTCCACACACCTTTTGACACCGGTTCATAACTCGCCCACCCAGCCAGCCCCAGGACCCACCCACCTTGCCCACGCTGCTGCACAGCACCAGATCACCCTCCTCCCTTCCGTCCCCCCCTCTACACCTTTTGAGACCGTTTCATAACTCTTCCCAGCCAGCCAGCCCCAGAACCCAAGCCCCAGCACCCACCTTGCCCACGCTGCTGCACAGCACCAGGTCACCCTCCTCGCCACCGCTCTGCACGAAATCCCACTTGGCCGCACTCTCCTGCACCCGCTCCTTCTCCCGCGCCACATCCCCATCTCCCTCCTCCTCATCATATCCCGGACCCATCATAGCTGCTAGATCCCCCGCTCCCTCATCGTCCTGGTCCTCCCAATCCTTGTGCAGCTGGCTCAGGCGAATTGCCATGAGACAGAGGGAGATGAGAACTGCTGACATGGATACTTGCACGGGGTAGGCCGGGTAGTGGAGGGAATAGTAATCCGTGGCAGAAAGAGAGTAGATGTCGAGAGGGGAGGAGGTTAGAGGCTCGTGCGCGTACGCTGCTGCGATGAAATGGAGTGAGGAGATGAGTGCATAGGGTGGGGAGAGGAGGGAGAGGAAGCCGTGTGGGATGGTGAAGGAGGCGGGGGAGACGCGGAGCATGAAGACAAAGGGGATGACTGCGAGGAGGAGGAAGAGGAGGGAGAGCGTGGCGGCTGCGAGCTGGGCTGAGTCGAAGGAGAAGGAGAGGAGGTAGGAGAGGAGGACGAGCGCGGGGATGGTGATGGCGAATACCACGAAGAGTGCTGGCAGCGCGGGCTGATGTGGGGACGGGGACGGAGGCGGGGGTAGAGGGGGGGAAAAAAGGGGGAGAGAGGGTGGGGAGGGAAAGGGAGGAGTAGTGAGCGCGGGGATGGTGATGGCGAATACCACAAAGAGCGCAGGCAGAGCGGGCTGATGTGGGGACGGGGATGAGGGAAAAAAGAGAGAGGAGGGAGTGGGGGAAGGGAGAGGAGGAGAGGATTGTGAGGGGAGAAGGTCGTGATGGAAACTGGAGGTGCTAGCCTCTGGTTACAGAAATACCAACCGATAGCTGTGAGTGAATGCAGTACATACAACATAGACATGGGACAGCTACGACTGTGGATGTATGCATTATCTTAGTGTCTTTCATCCTCCAAAAGAAAAAGACAAAACAAACAAAAAAACTTAGACACGGGACAGCACAGGCACAGCATAGCACAGCACAGCACAGGCACGGGCACACAGCACAGGGTAAGCATAACGTGCGACAGTGAAGGGCGAGGACTGGAAGGCGAGGCCGATGGCGGTGATGAGCAGCGCGCAGAGCCACATGGCAAGGCAGTCCACTGCTGCCGTGCCCAGCCACAGCGCAAAGCCACGCAGCCCACACATTGTAGATACGGCACAGTACAGGCAAGAGCGCACGGCACAGGCACGAACGCACGACACAGGCAGGCACACACATCACAGGCAACAGCGCACAGCACAGGCACGGGCACACAGCACAGGGAAAACATTACGTACCACAGTGAATGGAGAGGACTGGAAGGCGAGGCCGATGGCGGTGATGAGCAGCGCGCAGAGCCACATGGCGCGAGAAAAGGCACGAGAACACGATGTAGACACGGGACAGCACACAGCACAGGCGGGACGTAACATACCACAGTGAAGGGCGAGGACTGGAAGGCAAGGCCGATGGCGGTGATGAGAAGCGCGCGCCGCGCAGAGCCACATGGCGAGGCAGTCCACAATGTAGACACGGGACAGCACACAGGGTAAGCGAACATACCACCGTGAAGGGGGAAGACTGGAAGGCGAGGCCGATGGCGGTGATGAGCAGCGCGCAGAGCCACATGGCGAGGCAGTCCACTGCTGCTGTGCCCAGCCACAGCGCAAAGCCGCGCAGCCCACACACCTTGAGCATGGTGCGCAGCCCATACTCCATCTCCGCTACCATCTGACGTGAGTAGAGATGGGGGGAGAGGGGGGAGAGAGGGGATGGGTATATTTTTAGGCGCCTCAAAAACAGACACCTTGAGAACGGTGCGCAGCCCATACTCCATCTCCGCTACCATCTGAGTCGTGTGGTGAAGGTGGGAGGAAGGAGGGGATGGGGAGGAACGAGTGTTTCACAAGAAGCCCACAGACCTTGAGCATGGTGAGCAGCCCATACTCCATCTCCGCTACCATCTGAGTCGAGCAAAGGTGAAGGGAGGTGGGGAGAAGGAGGGGACAGGAAGGAACGATTGTTTTACATGCAGCCCATACTGCACATCCACTACCATAGGACTCGACCGAGTATAGATTGAGGAATGAGGGGCTAGGTAGGGAGGAACAGCGGCACAGACAGTGAGCAGAAACAGACAACCGGTGTATCTGAGTGGGGAGAGTGCCTAGGAGGAGCGTACCTGAGCGGAGAGTATGGGTGGCACCATGAGCAGCCCAATGGCCACAACAGCAGCGACAATGTACGCGAAGACAAAGTCGGGCGAGGTGAAGTGCAGCGGGTAGCTCTCCACTGTAATGCTCTGCGGGGAGGACTGGATGTCGTGCTGCGCTGCCACGAGCTTGAGGAACGCGTTGTTGAGGGTGGCGATTACTGCTGGCACCTGGTGGATGCGCCACGGCTGGTACAGCAGCGTGAAGCTGTACCCACACTCTGTGGTGGGCACGCATGGGATTGGTGGGACACAAGGATGGCATCGGTGGGAAACGAAGACGGGGGTGTGGGGAGAGGGGAGGGGCATGAGAAAGGGGCGGAGAGGAGGGGTCACTTGATGCAGCCTTTGGTAGCACTCTCTCCACATCTATGCTCTGTGGGGCGGACTTGATGTCGTGCTGCGCTGCCACGAGCTTGAGGAATGCGTTGTTGAGCGTGGCGATTACTGCTGGCACCTGGTGGATGCGCCACGGCTGGTACAGCAGCGTGAAGCTGTACCCGCACTCTGTGGTGCACACGCATGGGAATCGATGAAGGGGGGTGGGAGATGCCGGGAATAAGGGAAAGAGGGGGATGAGAATGGGGGTCGTGACAAACGAGGAAGGGGGATGAGAGATGGCGATGAGCTGAAGCGAGGAACGAGCGGCATGAACCACTAGCAGAGCAGAGCATCCAGCCAAGGCTATTGCCAAACCCTGGTTGAATCGGCACTGCTGCAGCCACCCTTTCCCCCTCCCCATCTGCACCCCTTCCCCCCTGTTTCCCCATCCCACCTAAATCCCCCTGTCTCAACCATCCCTGCCCTGCCAGCACTCACGTCCCATGTCAACGCCTTGGAACAGCACGCCCACAGCCTTGCTCCCCACCCCGTTGCGCTCCGCATTCGCCACGTCCGTCTGGAAGCGCTCGAGCACGGCCTGCTCCGACCCCAGCTGCGCGTGGTTGTCCCCCAGCTCGTCTAACAGCTGCTTGGCCGCGATGGCGGAGGAGGGCGAGGTGGCGCTGTAGATGAGCGGGTACGCGCTGTCCCGAGCTAGCTGCGGGTCTGCTAGGAGGAGCGAAGGTGATGTGACTGACGAGCCGAAGAGCTGGATGAGCAGCGCTGCTACCGCGAAAATCTGGAGGGGGGAAGGGAGGGGAAGGGAACGGGATGGGGAACGGGGAGGGAGTGGGGGAGAGAAAGGGTTAAGTGGGGAGAGACAGAATGTCTGGAAGCGCTCGAGCACGGCCTGCTCCGACCCCAGCTGCGCGTGGTTGTCCCCCAGCTCATCTAACAGTTGCTTGGCCGCGATGGCGGAGGAGGGCGAAGTGGCGCTGTAGATGAGCGGGTACGCGCTGTCCCAAGCTAGCTGCGGGGCTGCTAGGAGGAGCGAGGGTGATGTGACTGACGAGCCGAAAAGTTGGATGAGCAGCGCTGCCACCGCGAAAATCTGGCAAGGAGGAGGGAGGGGGGAAGAGGGGTAGAGAAAGGGTTGAGGTGAAGGAGGAGAAGCGGCGGCGACAGGACCTCTGGAAGCGCTCGAGCACGGCCTGCTCCGACCCCAGCTGCGCGTGGTTGTCCCCCAGCTCGTCTAACAGTTGCTTGGTGGCGATGGCGGAGGAGGGCGAAGTGGCGCTGTAGATGAGCGGGTACGCGCTGTCCCGAGCTAGCTGCGGGGCTGAGAGGAGGAGCGACGGGGATATGACTGACGAGCCGAAAAGTTGGATGAGCAGCGCTGCTACCGCGAAAATCTGGAGGGGGGAAGGGAGGGGAAGGGAACGGGATGGGGAACGGGGAGGTGGGGGGAGGGAGTGGGGGAGAGAAAGGGTTAAGTGGGGAGAGACAGAATGTCTGGAAGCGCTCCAGCACGGCCTGCTCCGACCCCAGCTGCGCGTGGTTGTCCCCCAGCTCATCTAACAGTTGCTTGGCCGCGATGGCGGAGGAGGGTGAGGTGGCGCTGTAGATGAGCAGGTACGCACTGTCCCGAGCTAGCCGCGGGGCTGAGAGGAGGAGCGACGGGGATGTGACTGACGAGCCGAAAATTTGGATGAGCAGCGCTGCTACCGCAAAGATCTGGAGGAGGAGAGGGGGGAAGGGTGATGGGGGAGGAGGTGGGGGTTTGGGGGGAGAGGGTGAGGGGGAAGGGAGAGGGGGAGATGGAAGTGGGGGTTGGGGGAGGAGGAGGAGGAGGAGGAGGAGGAGGAGGAGGAGGAGGAGGAGGAGGAGGAGGAGGAGGAGGAGGAGGAGGAGGAGGAGGAGGAGGAGGAGGAGGAGAAGGGGACAGAGGAGCAGGGACCTGGCAACTCCATAAAGCAGGACGTTAACACTGGGTGGTTGGCACTGGCACATGACATGACATTCTAGAGATGAAACTAAATCATCGCATCAGATCACACACACCAAAGCACAGCAGATATCATCACATCATTATATCATACCACAGGCAGGCCGAAGGTGCTGAGCGTGTTGCCTGTGTTGCGCCAGTAGCTAGCGGCCCTGAGAAAGCACACGCCCTTCACCTGCCTCCGAAACACCGCCAACGGCTTGTCCCGTGCCGCCCCCTCACTCACCAACCCCGCCGCTCCCCCCACCGCACTCCCCACCGTGCTCCCCCCCCCACTGCCATCCCCCCCACTCCCCGCACCACCCCCACCTCTCCCACCCCGTGCTGCTCCCGACAAAACCCCACCACCACCCCCCGCACCACCACCACCAGCAGCACCAGCAGCCGCACTATCTGAAAGCACGCGGCCGCCACTCCCAGGAGAATCCAACAGAGACTGCCCCTCTTCCTCCTCTGGCAAAGCACCTGAGGCGCCGCCCATGCCCAGGACGAGCTCTAGAGCAGAGCCGTCGGCTGTGGGAGGGGCGAGGATGGCCCCTGCTGCTTCTTCATCCTCGTCCTGGAACTTGAGGAACACCTCCTCTAGGGTTGTGGCTTCCATTGCTGCGTCCTCCACCCCTAGCTCCACCGCTTGGCTGGGGGGCAAGGGGGGAAAGAGGAGACGTATGCTAGCCATTGCACGTCAATTTTGCCGTTATATTGGCAGCAACAGAGATGGGGAGGCATGGAGCGGAGGAGAGAAAAGAGAAGGATAAAGAGGAGAGGAGAGGGAAAGATGTGGAAGGCAAGCGGGAGGAAAAGAAGTACGAACGTGAACAGGCAAAACAAGCAGGCAATACAATTAGCAAAACGAGGATGCGAAACGAGCGGGAAAAAAGGAGCGGGCGAAAGGAGGATGCATGCACGCACGTGGAGAGGGTCGAGCAGGAACGCGGAGGTTTTCTAGTCAACTCAAAAGTCGCCTCATCACATGCGAATTATATGTGGAAAGAACAATTCAATTCGACTAACAGATCGCCTCACGCACGTGGAGAGGTCGAGCAGGAGCGCGGGGATGTGCGAGGCGGCATGGAAGGGCAGCGAGTAGGAGACATAGTCTATCTGATGCAGGCCTGCAGATGGCACCAGCACCGCATCGGGCACGTGCGACTGCACCAGCTGCACCACCTTGGACCCCTTGAACACCGCTCCCTTGGTGATGTGCAGCAGGTATGACAGGCCTGCGGAAGGGTGAACATGTTTGGGAGGGAGGTGAGGAAGGATTTGAGGCGGTTCAAAAGCATGTGGGGCTCCCACCCACCACCACCCTCCTTATGCCCCTTCGATCCGAACCCATCCACCCCCTTTACACCGCACATCGCTCGAAGCCACTTCTAACCCTAATAAACCCCTCTGAGCCGCTTTCAACCCCACTAAGCCCCACTAAATGCATCCCCGTAAGCTGTCCTCCCTCCCCAACCCCCAACGCACCGAAGCGGTTGCGCAGGAAGAGCGAGGAGCCGCAGCACTTGAGGCGGCCGTGCGAGAGGATGGCCTTGCGGTCCGCTGCTAGGTCCGCCTCCTCCATGCTGTGCGTCGTGAACACCACCACCCGCCCCGCCTTGCGCCTCTGCAGCACATCCCACACCTGGGGGGGTTGGAGGAAGGGGGAATGGACGTGGGCAGGGGCGGGGCAGGGGCGGGGGCGGAGGCAGAGGCAGGGGCGGGGGCGGGGGTGGGGGCGGGGGGGAGGGGACAGGGGCGGGGACCGAGGCAGAGGCAGGGTCAGGGGCAGGAACGTGGGAAGGGGCACACGGCGCATGGGCACAGCACAGGAATGAGGAGACGGATGGGGATTGGAGAATGCAGGGGTTCGTTCATTCTCCTCCATGCTGTGCGTCGTGAACACCACCACCCACCCCGCCTTGCGCCGCTGCAGCACATCCCACACCTGGAGGGGGGGCATGAGGGTGGGGTTTGAATGAATACGGCGATGATGAAAGGGAGGGCGGGTGGAGAAGAAATGGGGGATGGAGGTCGAGAGAGGGAAAGGGGAAGCGGGAAACGTGGGAGGCACATCTTCGTGGGAATCGGGATGGGCATGGGGATGGAGATGGGGATGGGGATGGAGATGGGGATGGGGATGGAGATGGGGATGGGGATGGAGATGGGGATGGGGATGGGGATGGAGATGGGGATGGGGATGGAGATGGGGATGGGGATGGGGATGGGGATGGGGATGGGGATGGGGATGGGGATGGGGATGGGGATGGGGATGGGGATGGGGATGGGGATGGGGATGGGGATGGGATGGGGATGAGGACGGGGATAGGGACGGGGATCAGGATAGGGATGGGGATGGTAATGGGGATGATATCATTCTTTCTCGAGTCATATGGGATGGGGGAAAGCACGCACCTGTTTCTTGGAGGAGGGGTCCATGCCCTTTGTCGGCTCATCCAACAGCAACACCTAGGGGGAATGGGATGGGATGGGATGGGATGGGATGGGATGGGATGGGATGGGATGGGATGGGATGGGATGGGATGGGATGGGATGGGATGGGATGGGATGGGATGGGATGGGATGGGACGGGACGGGACGGGACGAGATGGGATGGGACGGGACGGGACGGGACGGGACGGGACGGGACGGGACGGGATGGGATGGGAGAGTAAGGGATGAGACAGGACGGGACGGGAGGGGATGGGAAGGGGCAGGACGGGAGGAGAGGGAATGGGACGTAGGGGATGGAATGGGACGGGACTAGAGGGGAAGCATGTCAGGAATGAAAGGCAGAAAGAAGTCTGCAGTACAGGAGCGAAATGCTTAACCATATTCCAAACACCCACAACCGCCCCTCACCCCACCCCACCCACCTCTCCCATTCACCCTCCCACCTCTCTCAACCTCTCGCCCACCACTCCCCACCTCTCTCCCCACCTGAGGCTCTCCAATGAGCGCGATGCTAAGGCTGAGCTTGCGCTGCTGCGAGGGTGAGAGCTCAAAGGCAGGCCTGTCCGCCCACCCCTGCAGCCCCATCTCAAACATCAACTCGCCCACTGCTTGCCGCACCTTCTCCCTCCCCAGCCGCCACGCCCCCAGCCTCCACCCGCCCCTTCCCCCCCCTTGCTGGTCCGCCTCCCCGCCTTCCCCGTCCTCCCCTGCGCCTTCTTCGGTTTCTGCAGCGCTCAATCGGTCTAGGTCGCCCTTTATCTCTGCAAAGAAGGTCAGCTGGCCAGGGGGGGGGGACAGGGGGGGGAGAGGGGGAGGAGAAGGGGGAAAGGGAGCAGGGAAGGGGAGGAGGATGGAGATGAAAATGGGGAAGGGGAGTGGGAGTGGGAGTGGGAGTGGGAGTGGAAGTGGAAGTGGGAGCAGGAGCGGGAGCAGGAGCGAGAGGGAGAGTGGGAGCAGGAGCGGGAGTGAGGAAGGGGATAGAGCGCTCGATAGAGCCCTCCAGAACACAAAAAAAAAAAAAAACAAACAAACAAACAAAAGGGATGCAGCTCTCAGATACATCGTACAAGGACGCTCTTACGTGGTGCTAGAGATACATCGAAACAAAATCGCTCTCCTTCCCCTCCTCCAACCGCCCTCTTCCGCACGCAGTCCACACCTGCGCCCCACCCTCACACCCCTCGTCATGCTCGCACAGAGCCTCAGCGCACCTGCTCCTTGACTGTGAGTACTGCCACGTGGATGTTTCTCTGTGGGCAGTGCCCCACCAGCGAGTGAATGTACGAGTCTGGAAGGGAGACGGTATGAGCAGGGAGGGAACAGAATGGAGGGCAGGGGAGAGGGAAATAGGAGATGGAAGATATAGCGAAGGTGGAGGGAGATTGAATAACAAAGGAGAAAGAAACAAAGTCAACAAGAGCGGGAGCATGGATAGAAACAGCAGCAGCAGCAGCAGAAGCGATCTCTTGTCCATAGCACACATGCATGTGTGCAAAAACACCCATGTGTGCAAAAACATCCATGTGTGCAAAAACATCCATGTGTGCAAAAACATCCATGTGTGCAAAAACATGGAACAATTTTAATGCACACATGCATGCACGTACCGCCCTTGGTGAGGCTGAGCCCGTAGAGGAACGCCTCTCCCTCGGTGGGCTTCTGCAGCCCTGCCAGCGTGCTCAGCACTGTCGACTTGCCCGACCCGCTGTGCCCCTGTGGCGTGAAGCATAGGGAGAACAGGGAAAAAAACAGAGGAGGAGGGAGGTGGGGGAAAGGAGGAGGGGATGGAAAAGGCCGGGGATGGGTGGGCTCAACAATACGGAGGGAGTGAGGGGTAAGGGAGGCAAGGAAGCGTGACGACATGGGAGGAGAGAGGAGGTAGTCATAAGGACGCACGAGAGATGAATGCGGTGAACCAGGAATGCAAACACTTGTCCCTCGTAAAGTGTGAGCTGCACTCGAGGTGACTTATGAGAGTCCACTCGAAGCAAAAACCACGTCTGCTCAGAGAGACTTCTGAGTCAAGTCAACACAAGGGCCGCATACCAGGAATGCAAAGGACTGCCCCTCGTAGAGCGTGAGAGAGAGGCCCTGGAGTGCATACACCTTGCGCTCGTCCCCACGCCCACCAGCAGCAGCAGCAGCAGCACCTTCAGCCGCAGCAGCGCTGTCAGCAGCACCAGGCACGGGGGCAGAGGGTCTGCGCGTGCGGCGGGAGAAGAAGGAGGAGGCGAAGGAGGCGGAGGAGGAGAGGAGGCCGCGTGCAGGGAAGGACTTGGCGAGGTGGTTGATGAGCAGCGCTGGGCGGAACCCACGCACGTCCTCTATGGGCGACTCTGCATGGGGGGGGGAGAGGACGGTGGGAGGCAGGTGGGAGACGGGTGGGAGACGGGTGGGAGATGGGAGGGGGATGGGAGACTCTGAGGGACGGGCGACACTGGAACCCACGCACGTCCTCTATGGGTGACTATGCATGGCCGGATGGGAGACGGTGGGGATGGGGGGGTTGGGAGCGGGATGGGTGGGGAATGGATAAGGGGCGGGCAGGGTACTGTTCTCACTGAAAATATTTGGCGCAGTGAGTGTGAGGGTACGAGATAGGGAGGATGTAGTGCCGAGGGATGAAGCGAGGCCGTCATACCAGCATGGTGAGACGATGCTGAGGCAGTGAGAGGCACGGTGGTGGAAGTGGCGGCACCGGTGGTGGTGGAAGAGTGCAGGGGAGCGGCGGAGTCTTGGCCGACGTCCAACCTGCACTCCTCGCCCTCATGATCCATGTCGTCGCCTCCCCCATCCTCCTCCTGTCACCCACACATACCACACACATGCCATACACATGCCACACACATGCCACACACGTGCCACACACGTGCCACACACATGCCACACACATGCCGCACACACGCCACACACATGCACCGTCATAATACAGGTGTTTGGTTAGCATCTCTTATGCCCGCCCATTGCCACACGGCATGTTCGTGCGAACATGCCCTGCCATGTTCACACATGCTATCCGCCATCCCCCAATTCAGCCAGATATACAACCATGCCAAGCCATGGCATGCCATGGCATGAAAGTTTCTAAGCATTCTAGCTGCGATCGCTGCAGGCATGAAAAGGGCAGGAATGAACCATACAGTCACGGAGAGCCATTGGGAAGTCATGACACGTGGGGAGTGTGGGGAGTGTGGGTGTGAGTGAGGGAGTGAGGGGGCACCAGCTGAGAGTAGCGCAGGGCATGGCGTGCAGGGAACCAGTAGGCGGCGGAGAAGACAAAGTCGGCAGGCTTCTTAGGGCCGCGCTGGGGGTGCGGCCACACGTTGTCCAGGTACCTGCTCACGTGGGAGGCGCATGGCATGGGCGTGGGCGTGAATATGAATGAAGCACGGGAAATACTTTTGAGGCGCCTCAAACGTGGGGGTGCGGCCACACGTTGTCCAGGTACCTGCTCATGTGGCAGGCGCATGGCATGAGGCATGGGCATGGGCATGGGCATGGGCATGGGCATGGGCATGGGCATGGGCATGGGCATGGGCATGGGCATGGACATGGGCATGGGCGTGGGCATGGGCGTGGCGTGGGCGCGGGAACAGAGCAAGGGATGTGGCATGCGCCCCGTCATGTCATAGGAAGGGAACTGAGGCATGGGGGCAAGTGGGGGGAGGAGGTATGCATCCCGCAAGGAGCACGCGGAAAGGAGCGTGGGTGGGGTGGGGTGGAGGAGGCTGCATCAAGTCCATCTTCGATTGAGGTAAAGGGGGAGTTGGGTGCATGCATCAAGCATGCATGCATGCAGTGAGTCGACGACTGACCATGCGAGAAAGAGGTAGAGAGCAGTGTCGAATATAATAAAGGCAACGATGCAGGCACCGCACCGATGGTGAGGATGGTTATTTTGGCACCTCAAAAATCACACGGTGAGTCGACGACTGACCATGCAAGGAAGAGGTAGAGAGCAGTGTCGAAAACGAAGGCGATGATGCAGGCACCGATGGTGATAATGTTGTCTTTTGAGACGTCTCAAAACTCAAAGAGCACACGGTGAGTCAGACTGACCATGCGAGGAAGAGGTAGAGAGCAGTGTCGAAAACGAAGGCGATGATGCAGGCACCGATGGTGATAATGTTGTCGTCATCCCCTGGGTTCACGCCCACTCGCTGCAAAGGAAACGAGCGGAGGAAGGGAGGAGAGCAGGAAGGGAAAAAGGAGGAGCCGGGGAAGGGAGGTGAGCGGGAAGGGAGGACGGGAGTGGTGTGGGGGGGAAGAGAGAGGAGTGGGTTGTAGCATGGTCAAGGCGTTTCTTGGTGAGAAGAGTAGCAGGGAAGCAGAACAGGTGGATTAAGGGACGGGGAATGGGAGAGAGGGCCACAAGTGAAGCTTGATATGGGGTGTGAGTGGGAATTGGGGAAAGGGAGGTGCGGGGGGGGGGGGGGGGGTGGATAAACAGGGATCGAGAACGATGTGAAAGGACGGGTTGAGAGAGAGGTGCAAGTTAAAAACAGATTCCGAAAAGAGCTGCAAGATGGTCAAAAGGCATCACGGGAGGAAGGACGAAAGAAATGGAAGGAAGTGAAAGGACGGAAGGAAGGAACGGAACAGAGTGGATGGAAAGAAAAGGTGGGGTCTCACGGTAAGCCAGAAGGAGGACAGGGACACGCCCTGCCCCATGCCCTCGGCACGGGTGACTTGAGACGTCTCAAAACACTACTTTAATCAAGCGGAGAAAGGAAGGAAAGGTGGGGTCTCACGGTAAGCCAGAAGGAGGACAAGGACACGCCCTGCCCCATGCCCTCGGCACGGGTGACAGTGGTGATGGCGATGGTGAAGGGCACGGGGGAGAGCAGCAGCAGCGGGTACACAATGGCTGCTCCCAGGGAGAGCAGCTGGATGGGAATGACCAGCAGACTGCAGAGCAGCAGACTGCCCGCCGCTGCCGCTGCTGCCTTGCCCACCTGCAGCGGGGGAGGGGGAGGGGAGAGGGCGGGAAAGGGGGGGAAGGAGGGAGGGAGGGAGGGAGAAAGGGAGGGAGGGAAGAAGGGAGGGGGGGAAGGAGAGAGGGAGGGAGGTAGGGAGGGAAGGAGAAAGGAGGGTGAAAGTTGTAGAGAACACTTGAAGGGCACGGGGGAGAGCAGCAGCAGCGGGTACACAATGGCCGCTCCCAGGGAGAGCAGCTGGATGGGGATGACGAGCAGACTGCACAGCAGCAGACTGCCCGCTGCTGCCGCTGCTGCCTTGCCCACCTGTCGTGGGAGGAGGGGGCAAGAGAGACGAGAGGGCGAGAAATAAAACAGAAGACCGAGAAAGGGAAGGGAAGGAAGAAGTTGTATACAAGGGAGGGGAAATCGAATAGAAGGAGGTGAGCAGGGAGGAATGCCTAGTCTAGGTGAGTAGCAGCAGCCCCATGTAACATTTGTACAGTCAAGTAGACAGACAGACAGATGCTCCACACGGGCTGTGCTGTGTGAATCAAGGTGCTATACTATCACCTAGGAGCTGGGGTAGGTGTTGGGTGAGGTGAAGAGAGATGAGAGTGCGCGTTACCTGGGTGAAGAGAGTGCTGAGGGCGAAGGCGAGGGCGATGAGGGAGAGGGAGTAGGGGAAGATGATGCAGAAGAGGGCAACGTAGGTGGAGGCTGAGAAGAGCGACGTGAGCTTCACTGTCAGCGACTGTGATAGTGGGCACAGGAACAGAACAGGGAGGGATGCGGGGAGAATGGTGAGGAAGGGAGGCGGTCGTGGCATGGCATTGGTGAAAGCATTTCCATTTGGAGACTGGGATGCCAACTCAAAGGGCGCAAAAGGGCATGGCGGCATGGCAGAAAGGAGACAGGTGATAGCAGCCATGAAGGCATATGTGGGCAGCCGTGCCACGACTTTTTTTGGGCGCCTCTTAACCACAGGAGACGAGATGGTTATTGAGGCGTCTCAAAGAGCAAGGTGACAGCAGCCATGAAAGCAAATGTGAGAAGTCACGCCTTCTTTTGGGCGCCTTTAAAGTGTTTGAAATGAGACAATTACGGAGTCGCCATCAAAGGGGCAGGCAAGGCAGCTTACAATGACGGCAGAGGTGACAGCCGCCATGAAGGCATATGTGAGCAGCCACGCCAGCCAGTACACGGACTCTCGCAGCCCCATCAGCAGCATACAGTCCTGGCGAGGGGTGGGTGGGGCGTAGCGTAGCGTGGGAGGGTGGAAAGGAGGAGAAATGTCTTGAGCGCGTTCTTGAAAGTCTATTTCGAGAATTTCGAGGGGTGTTGGTTGGTTGGCACGGAGTTACTCCAACACGTCAGCCAGTACACGGACGGACTGACGGACCGACGGACGGACTCACATGCAGCCGCCGCATCAGCAGCTATCAGAAACCCCTCGTATACGGTAGTATACCCCCGCGTCCCTCTCCATCTACCGGCCCTCTTTGACCAGGCCTCACCTTGAGCAGGCTCTCCTTCTCCTGCACGATCTGCGTGATGGCCACCTGCAGCATGGGGATGAGCGAGAGCACCATGTAGATGGCGCAGAACAGCTGGAACTCCATTGTTGCGAACGACCTGGGGGCATGGGGGAGGGGGTGGGCATAGGGGTTGTACGGGAGAGTGTATGGGAGGCAGGGGGCATGGGGGGAGGGGAGGGCGGGTTGGGGGGGGGGGGGGGGGGGCGGGGAGATGGTGGACCGTGGAGGAGGCATCGGAGGGGTATGGAGTGGGGCATCATCGCAGGCAGGGAGAGAGGCAGGGAGAGAGGTAGGTACGGAAAAGGACTGAACAAAAGCGGGGTTGAGGCAGGAAAAGCAGCGTACTTGTGCAGTTCTGGTATTGGCATGTGCTGCTCATGCACGGTAATGGGGTTGCTCTGGTTTTAGAGTCCACTCGAAACAAGGCGGGCGGTGGGATGGGATCAGACATGTGGGAGTTAAGGCAGGCAGGCAGGCAGGCAGGCAGGCAGGCAGGCAGGCAGGCAGGCAGGCAGGCAGGCAGGCAGGCAGGCAGGCAGGCAGGCAGGAGGGCAGGCAGGCAGGCAGGCAGCATACTTGTGCAGTTCCGGGATGGGCATGTGCTGCTCATGCACGGTGATGGGGTTGCTCTGCATGCCACATGACGTCCCATTCCATGCCGTCTCCATCAGCGCTGACGTCACCGCCAGCTGTATCGACAGGAAGCCTGCTCGGGGAGAGAAAGGAGTAGGGGGCGGGGGAGAAGAAGGGGAGAAGGGGAAGGGGGGAGAGGGAGGGAGGGGGAGACGAGGGGGGGTGGAGAGAAAGAGGGAGGGGAGCGGAAAGAAAGGGGGGGGTGGGGGGGTCAGCAAAGAGAGAGAAAGAGAATGGATACTGAGGAGGCAGGTAAGAGACAATCAAGGTAGACCATAGACGGATGTGTCTATGACAGGGTGTGGTGTTATGGTCCATCCAATGGTAACTGTGTGCTCCCTGTCCTACTGCTATCATCTCTCAAATACTAATAGACTCTCCCCTTCCCAACCCACCCCTCCTCTCAGCCCCAACACATTCACATCTCCACTCAAGAGTGAAAGAGTCACCTGAGGAGAGGTACTGTTGGGAGCGGCAGATGGTGGGGGGGATGTACTCTGCTGCTGCCAGCCGACACTCGTTCACTATCTTTTGAGTCGACTCAAAAAATGTCAAAGAGTCACTTGAGGAATCAAGAGCGAAAGAGTCACCTGAGGAGAGGTACTGCTGCGAGCGGCAGACGGTGGGGATGTACTCTGCTGCTGCCAGCCGACACTCGTCCGTGCTGCTGGCCACTCGAGTCGACTCAAAAGTCAAAGAGTCACCCGAGGACTCAAGAATGAAAGAGTCACTCACCTGAGGAGAGGTACTGCTGGGAGCGGCAGATAGTGGGAATGTACTCTGCTGCTGCCAGGCGACACTCGTCCGTGCTGGCGCGCTCACTGGCTGTGCCCGGCACCTGACTGCCTGCACGTGCACGAGGGAGGGGAAGCGCGGGAGAGGAGGGTGGGAGGGAGGGAGGGAGGGAGGGAGGGAGTACTGAACACGTATGGTGAGGGTCCGTGTGAATGGTGCTGGCGCGCTCACTGGCTGTGCCCGGCACCTGACTGCCTGCACGTGCACGAGGGAGGGGAAGCGCGGGAGGGGAGAGCAGGAGGGCAAGGGCGAAAGGGGAGCGCGGGAGGGGAGCGTAGGAGGGCAAGGGCGGGAGGGATGCGCGGGAGGGAGTGTGGGAGAGGGAGAGAGGGCGAGGGGAGGGCACGTATGGTGAAGGTGCGTATATGATGATTGCCCATTGCCCGCTCACTCTGGACGGTCCCCTCCCCCCACATGACTGCCAGCAGGTGCCCACCAAGGGATGATGCTGAATAAAAAAACAGTATCTATGCAAAACTTGCTGAACGGGAGGGGAGGAGGGTTGAGAAGAGAGGCGGAACGAGGGGTGGGAGGAGAGCAGGAAGAAGCAGGGAGGGCCGGGAAGGGGGTGTGGGAGGGTGTGGGAAAAGAGGAAGAGGGTGGACGGGAGAAAGAATGGTTGAGGGTTGGGGGAGGTTGTACATAGGAAAGCAGTCGTGCGTTTAAGGGAAGGCAGGCAGAGCGTACCATTGATGCGGATGGTGAAGCGTGTATCTGGAGGCAGGGCAACACTGTCTGCTGCCATGCCCTCAAACTCCACTGCTGCGAACAATGCCTGGCGTGGGATGGGATGGGATGGGATGGGATGGGATGCGATGCGATGGAATGGGGATGGGATGGGATGGGATGGGATGGGATGGGATGGGATGGGATGGGATGGGATGGGATGGGATGGGATGGGATGGGATGGGATGGGATGGGATGGGATGGGATGTGATGGAATGGGGATGGGATGGGATGCGATGGAATGGGGGTGGAATGTTATAAGCGAAGTCATTGACTGGTGAAAAGACCCAGCCTGGGACAGGAAGGCATGGGACGGGACGGGACATCCAGTAAGGTGCAAATGAGGGGCGAGTGTGAGCAGGGATTTGGATTTACGGAACATGGAGCATCAGTGAGAAGGCTTTGTATCTCCGCTGCTGCTTCTCTGCATCTCTGCCTTCCTGCCTCCCTGGCCCCCTGCCTCCCTCCCTCGCTGCCACGCTGCCTCGCTCCCTCGCTCCCTTGCTCCGTTTCTGCCTGGCTGCCTCCCTGCCTGGCTGCTTTGCTGCCGTGCTGCCTTACCTGGGGGTGAGCGTAGTGGAACTCGGAGAGCTCCTGGCTCGATTCGAAGGCCTCCAGAACGAGCGTGGACAGGCGGGGCTGACTGGTGGTGCCGCACAAGGGGGGGAATAAAACAATGGGGTGCATCGGGAGACGCATAGGGGGTTCGCACAACGGGGCGCAAAGGGGGGCGCACAAGGGGGCACATAAGGGGGGGGCACACAGGGAAAGGTCGGGGGGATTAGTGCCGGTGGTGACAATTGGGCATGGATGGGAAGAGGAGAATTCCAGGCACTACCCCGTGTGGCGATGGCAGGTAACGTGCATTTACACGGGAAGGGCCGACGCCTTTAGGCATGGGCAGGGGCACGGCCACTGGTATGGGCACGTGCGATTAGGCATGGGAATGGGCATGGGCATGGGCACTGGCATGGGCATGCGCACAGGCGAGAGGGGAGGAAGCTTACTTCCTGCCGAGATTAGTTACAGCCCTGTCCATGACGCTGCGAACGAGCGGATTGTCTGGAATGTATCCAATCTGAGGCCCCATGCAGTGCAGGGATCAAACAAGCGGGAGACGGGTACGGGGGGAAGAAGACGAAGAAAGACGTGCGTGAGTTGGTGCAAGGAAGAGGGGGCGAAGAGGAGGGAGGGGAAGGTTAGGAAAGACGAAAGGGGTGAGAGAGCGGTATCAGGTTAACGATGGAACGAGGAGGAGGACTCTCAGGGGAAGGATCCGCAAGGCATGGTTTGACAGGGCAATGTATTCTCCACACCACCACTGTCACCAACGAAACCAGCAACAGCAGCAGCGGCGGCGGCAGCAGCAGCAGCGGTGGCAGCAGCTGCAGCACGAAGAAATTCCGAATCTCATACCACAGCACATGCGCTTACAGTGGTGGCAGCAACTATGTCGCGCACGGGGTAGCACCGGGTGCGGGCGTCAGCGGCGACTTTTGAAACGTCTCAAAAGGCAGCGGTTGCAGCAAGAAGAAAGTCTGGATCTCTCGTCTCAGGGCATGCGCTTACAGTGGTGGCAGCAACTATGTCGCGCACGGGGTAGCACCGCGTGCGGGCGTCAGAGGCGTAGCACATGGGGTCCACCACGTCTCCCACGGGCTCCGCGGGGAACGTGGCGTCCGGCTGCAGCACCTTCACTATGATCAGCAGCACTATGATGTACACCTGCGGGGGGGAGGCGGAAGGAAGAAGGGGAGAGAAGGGGAGAGAAGGGGGAAGATTGGGCCGGGGGAAGGGGGGGAAAGGGGGCGAGAGGGGGTTGGGGGGGAGAGGAGGGTGGGGAGGAAATGGGGTGAGAGTGGGGGGAGGATGATGATGGTGATGGTCCATCAAGGGATTGCTCAACGTAACCTTCACACAAAACACAACATCCGTTCGAAATTCTCACGTCCTCGCAAGGGTGAAACCCGCGAAACCCGTTCCTAAGGGTCGCGCGACCATCCGACAATCCCAATGTGCACAAGTAGCGAGGACCAGAATCGGTGAATCTGAAGCATTTCGCGGAGAGCGGCGACATTCGCAATCGACCACAACGACACGTCGCCCACAATGTCCCCGCAGCAAAGTTTCGGCGATCGGATCCACCGGTTCCGCATCTCATCATCCCACGCCCATAGATCTCGAATTCCCGAACAGCAGCAGAGATCCGAATCCTCTCGTGCTCACCGGGAGGAAGATCTCCTGAAGGGTCTGCGAGCCGTCGCTTTTGAATCGACTCAAAAGCAGTCTCGAAATCCCGACAGGCAGCAGAGATCCTATCCGAATCCTCTCGTGCTCACTCACCGGCAGGAATATCTCCTGGAGGGTCTGCGAGCCGTCGCGCCATTTGATGAGTAGGTTGCGTCGAAGCGTGGCGCGAAACTGCCGCGCCCACGACGCCGCCATGCTGCCTCCGAGTCACCGCGTCACGCGGCCACCGGACAGCGGACAGGGGACAGCCGAGATCGAAATGCAGGGTTCGTCCCAGCCCTTGTGGACTATCAAGGTGTCCGCGCGCTGGCTCTTGATCTCCTACCAGATTCGCCTTTCTGAAAGAGGATTCGTCTCAGCTGCTGGATAACATGACGCTCTGAAACCGTCTTCCCCGTCGAAAACTTCTTTATCCCAATGCCAGTGAAATCAGGTGCGAACGGCGACAGAACTGAAGTGAAAGAGGACGAATCTGATGGAAATTGGAACGATCAGGTTCGCCAAAATCCGACCCTCACGTTCGCAGAGATTCAGCCTCCCTCCCACCAGCAACTGAAACTCGGTTGCCCTAAGATCAGTAGTCTAGCTAGCAGCCATCATACATGCACGAGAGATTGCAGAGATGGAAAATCTAGCCAACATTCAGACCAGAGGCTGATCTATGAGGATGATGGGAGGAGAAAGGAGAGACCAATGTTCTGAATGGGACGAACGAAAATACCAAGGGGAAGGTTGACTCGGCAAAACCTGGAAACCTCTGGTGTTAGTGTTTCCGCGTTATTGGGAATCTCGCTCTTGCATTTAGCAGTTATTGCCTGCTCCCACATTCTGCCAAACGACATTGTAAGCTGTGATCTGTTCAAATCATGGGTGCCTGATGTTGGAATAATAAAACTATAATAAAGTAGCTCAGAACATTATTATTTATAATATTTAATCATTTCGGTCATAATTATCGATACAATAATTTTACTCTTAATTTCTCTGGACCTTTGCCTTATTTTCTCTTCACATGCTCCATATGTACACAAACAACAAGACTCATGCCCCCTCATTCATTGCCTCTCAGAAAAAAAACAAGATTCGACGATATCGTCTTAGGGTTGCGGAGCTATGATTTGGAAAATACCAAATTTCGATTTTTTTTGTTAAAACCCGCAGCCTGAATTACAAAAAAAGTTGGGAGGTGTTAACACTTTCCCTCCCGAACCAGGGTGGTTACCAGTTGTGCACGGGCAAAACGTGATGAAGTCGCAGGCAGCTCACGGAAGTGTCGCTCGGTTCCTGCGCAACCACTCTGGCCTTGGTGTGCACACCAAACTGGAAACCTGTAATTCAGGTCGATAAAAACTGCCTAGTCCGATCAGCACCAGCGGCAGCCATAGCTTAGAACAGCTAGGCTCCAACCTCATTCCAGCCCCATGCCTCATAGACCCGCCTTACTCGTTAGGACTAATACTCCATTCCTTAGGTGCCAGAGATATAACTTTCTGTCCGCGTTTCTAAGGTGAATCGCCCTACTTCGTCGCATTCGCTTCTTCTCCCCGTAGTCCACACTCCGTCCCCTTCCGTCCCACACACGCACTCCCCTCCATCGCTCACGCTTCCTCGCGACAACGAGCACGCTCCCTCCCCTCCCGTCTCCTTTGCGCTCGCTCCATTGTCGCACACGCGCGCTCTGTTTTCTCGCGGATTACAATTCCCTCCCGTCGCCCACGCGGGAGCGCCGAGACCGATTACGCACACTCCCTTCCGTCACCCACGCTCACTTCGTTCCCGCCGCAGACGCGCACTCCCTTCCGTCGCCCCCGCGCACTCCGTCAGTTACCTCGGCCCACGCGCACTCCCTTCCGTTGCCCACTCTCAAGACCTTCCCGTCGCCCACGCTCACACCCTTCCCATCGCCTACGCGCAATCGTTCAGTCGCCCACTCTCAATCACTTCCCTCGCCCACGCTCGCTCCCTTCCCGTTGCCCACGCTCACTCCCTTTCCATCGCCTTCGCGCAATCCTTACATCGCACACGCTCACCCCCGCTCGTCGCACACGGCCAATTCCCTCTCGTCGCACGCTGCCGCCCGCGCCGCGCTCTCCCTTTCAATCTCCTCCCACCGTCCACGCGCACTCCCTCCCGGCGCGCGAGACGACTCGCCGTCCGCCGCCCACGCTCACTCCCTCCCGCCGCGACGGTCCCCTCCGTCGCACATGCTCACTCCCCTCCGTCGCCCAGGCCCACTCCTTATGGTCGCACTCACTCCTCCCCGTCGCCCACTCATTCCCCTCCGTATCCCTCGCTCACTCCCCTTCCGCCGCCCACGCTCGCTCCCTCCCGTCGCGTTCGGCCCCATCCGTCGCCCACGCTCACTCCACTGCCGTCACACACGCACGCACCCTCCCCTCGACGGAGAGGGGGTGCTCCGCTTCCCTCGCATATGCGTTCATCTCCCCATCCCTCATCTCCCCATCCCTCATCTCCCCATCCCTCATCTCCCCATCCCTCATCTCCCCATCCCTCATCTCCCCATCCCTCATCTCCCCATCCCTCATCTCCCCATCCCTCATCTCCCCGTCCCTCATCTCCCCGTCCCTCATCTCCCCATCCCTCATCTCCCCGTCCCTCATCTCCCCGTCCCTCATCTCCCCGTCCCTCATCTCCCCGTCCCTCATCTCCCCGTCCCTCATCTCCCCGTCCCTCATCTCCCCGTCCCTCTTCTCCCCATCCCTCACCCCCCCATCCCTCATCTCCCCATCCCTCACCTCTCCGGTCTTCCTCTCCCTCTCCCCTCTCCTCTCATTCCTTACCCTTCTCCCTCTCCTCTCCCTCCTCCCTTTCCACTCGCCCCGCCACTCCCGCCGTGCTTCTCCCTCCCCCCATTCCGCCTCGCCCCATTCCGCCCCACCCCATTCCGCCCCATCCCATTCCGCCTGACCTCATTCCGCCCCACCCCATTCCGCCTCACCCCATTCCTCCTCTCCCCGTCCCCTCCTCACTTTAACCCCCTCTTCTCCCCTTCCCCACCTCATCCCATCTCCTCCTCTTTCCGTCCACCCCTCCTCACACCATCTCCTCCTCTTTCCATCCAGGCCTCCTCACCCCATTCCGCCTCACCCCATTCCGCCTCCCGTCCTCTCCCCATCCCCTCCTCTTACTATCCCTCCTCTCCTTGTCTCTCCTCTCCCCATCCCTCCTCTCATCCCTCCTCTTACCATCCCTCCTCTTACCATCCCTCCTCTCCCCATCCCTCCTCTCCCTATCCGTCCTCTCCCCATCCGTCCTCTGTTCGTTCCTTCCTCCCCACATCCCTTCCTGTTTGCTCCGCACTTCACCTCCCCCTCCCCTCCCCCAATCGCTCTGCGCGGTCTCATTGCAGGGACTCCTCGCAGGGAAAGAAGGGGAAAGGGAGGAAAGTGCACCCACGCTACGTCTATCCCCTCACCCCGCCCTGTCCTATCCCCTCACCCCGCCCTGTCCTATCCCCTCCCCTCCCCCTCCCGTCCTCTCCCCATCCCCTCCTCTTCCAAACCCATCCCTCCTCTTTCCATCCATCCTCTCCCCATCCCTCCTCTCCCCACCTCCTCATCCCTTGTGCGTTTCTGCTCCAGGGAGCTGCTTGGGACGCTGTGGACGGATGGCGGCGCCCATAGTCGCACAACAGAGGCGGACGTGGTGCTGCGTGAATCCCTTCCCCCCGTCCTCCCAACCTCTCTTTCTCCCTTCATCACGCCCCTCCTCTCCCCATCCCCTCCTCTCCCCCTCCCCTCATCACGCCCCTCCTCCCATCACGTCCCGTCCTCTCCCCATCCCCTCCTCTTCCAAACCCATCCCTCCTCATCACATCCCTCCTCTTTCCATCCATCCTCTCCCCATCCCTCCTCTCCCCATCCGTCCTGTCCCCATCCCCTCCTCTCCCCCTCCGCTCCAGGTGTTTCCTCCCATCATCACTTCCTCCCATCATCACTTCCTCCCATCACCACTTCCTCCCATCATCACTTCCTCCCATCACCACTTCCTCCCATCACCACTTCCTCCCATCACCACTTCCTCCCATCACCACTTCCTCCCATCACCACTTCCTCCCATCATCACTTCCTCCCATCACCACTTCCTCCCATCACCACTTCCTCCCATCACCACTTCCTCCCATCACCACTTCCTCCCATCATCACTTCCTCCCATCACCACTTCCTCCCATCATCACTTCCTCCCATCATCACTTCCTCCCATCACCACTTCCTCCCATCACCACTTCCTTCCATCACCACTTCCTCCCATCACCACTTCCTCTTCCTATCCCCTTTCCCTCTCACATCGTCCTATCTCCCCCTGTCCCTTCCCCCCTGCTTCCCTCTTCCCCCTCTTTCCCCGCTTTCCCCTCCCCATCGCTCGTATTCTCTTTCTCTCCCTGGCTATTGCAGTGACTACACTGATGATTTTTCTGGTGCTGCAACTCGCTCAGAGGCCCATCATCCCATGCCATGCTCGTAGAGAAAACAGTTCCCTTCATGTTTCTTTCGAGGCTTTGGAAAAGGTACAATCAAAAGTATTGTGCACATGCCTTTCTGTACCCTTCTGACACTCTTAGTGTGCATCAATCTTGGAAGAATATCTTGCACTGCAGAAACAAAATTACATACGGTACGGTATTATGCCTTTGAGATCCATCTCTTCAACAAAAATTATGCAAAGCACACAAGACACAGGTGGTGGTACGATGCAAAGCATAGACTAGCTGCGCCTCAGCTTGCTCCTCTGCTTCACCACTGAAAAATAGGGGAGATTGGAGTAGGCAGAAAGATTCGTGTGAAGAAACATGGGGGAGGTGGAGTGAGGTGCAAGGGAACAACGGCAGGGGAATACACACAAGCGCACATAATGAAAGCATGTATGGGGAGACACTAATGGGTGCACATGCATGGGTATTAGAGGGCGGAAGGTGAGGAGTGAGGGGGAAGGGTAGGGCATGAAAAGGAAGGGAAGGGTTGTGAACGGCTGGGGGAGGGAAGGGCGGAGCAGGGAGGAAAAGGCAGGGATGGGGAGGGCACGTGGGAACAGGGCAGAGGGTGCAGGAGAGTGAGAGTTCGAGAGGACGGAGGGAGAGAGTGCAGGAGGAGGGAGAGTGGGGGAAGGAGGGTGGGAGGAAAAGGCAGGGATGGGGTTTCCTAGGTGGGAACAGGGCAGAGGGTGGGGGAAGGAGAGTGAGAGTGCGAGAGGATGGAGGAAGCAGGGAAGGGGATGGGGGGAAGCAGGGAAGGGTGCATGTGCAGGTGGGAAAGGGGGCGTGACAAGTGTGTGAGATGAGAAGGGAGAAGGGAGGGATGGCGAGGACAAGGAGTGGATGGGAGGGCGACGGGGAAAGAGAGGGCGACGGGGGGAGAGAGAGACGGGGATTGCGAGGGGACGAGCGGGAAGGAGGGCGACGAGCGACAGAGAGGCGACGAGACGAAGGGGGGCAACGGGGGGAAGGGAGCGCGACGAGGGAAAAGAAGGGCGGCGGGCGGACGGGAAGGCAACGGGAGGAAGGGAGGGCGACGAGACGAAGGGAGGGCGACGAGACGAAGGGAGGGCGACGGGCGGAAGGAAGCGCGACGAGGGGAAGGAAGGGCGGCGGGCGGAAGGGAGGGCGACGGGTGGAAGGGAGGGTGACGGGCGGAAGGGAGGGTGACGGGCGGTGACGGGCGGAAGCGAGGGCGACGGGCGGGGAAGCGGCGAGGGCGACAGGCGAGGCGAGGGTAGTAGGCGGGGGAAGCGAGAGCGACGGGCGAGGGAACCGACCTCGACGGGCGGCGAGGCGGCGAGGGCGACGGGCGGGGTGAGGGCAGTGGGCGGAGAAAGCAAGGGCGACGGGCGAGGGTCGCGAGGTAGGCAAAGCGCTCTCTCATCTCCTCACGCCCATTTTCTCCGTGCTTCGATTGCGTATACAAGCTGCACCTACTAATTCCGGTTGTCTAAATGGCGCTCACTCTAAAACCCTAGCTGGTGTGCGATGGTCGGATACTAATAGCGAGTGAATGAGTATGTTTGCTTGTTCTGTCGCACCAGTTTTCTTATGCTGTTCTTTCCCTCTGGGGTTGGTATGCGGGTTGCCTGCGAACTGTTTGCCTCACGGGAGAGTCGCATCAGGTTTCGCTAACCTGCCACCTTTCGCAATTCCTCCGCACCTCATTTTGCCCGAACCCCGGACCTACCAAACCAAGCGTTGACTAAGTTTTTGTAATTCAGGCTTCGGGTTTTAATATCTATAAAGACAATGTCTGGATTTCCAGTAAAGAAGAAAGTTATTGATTACAAAAGCCAACTCAACAAAATTTTCCCAAGTTGGCGCTGTCGAAACCATTGTCGAGCGCGATATTCGAAACCCCACCTCCGGCTTACTAAGACAAATGTCTTACTCACTAGGACAACGACTCATATTTAGCATATTTTGAAACATTTTATATTATTATATTTATTGCGACAGATTTTCTTCTAGGGTTTCATTGTGTCTCCTTTTTCCTTTTCTCGTTCTGCTTGCGGGGAGCCCACAGCCCGCCCCTTTGTGGCGCTAGCTCACCTCAACTAGCTTCCTGTCCAGGTAAGATTCTCTTTGCGTATGTTAGCTAGTAACACGTAACAGTCGTGTTAGGACCTGCTGCAGACTTCGACCTATTTAGTTTCCTAACCTTACGGTCGTGTTAGGACCTGCTGCAGATTTCGACCTACTAAGTTATGTTGGTTTCTTGCCTGAAAACCTTTTCGAAGTTAGATTTCCTACCTTAACCGTCACTTCTTCCTTTCGTTTTATCTTCTAATCCTCGATTTCTTCCACCGGTAGGTTATGCACTACCCTTCTGTTATCTCCTCTCTGCTTCTCTCCACTTCTTCCCATCTTCTGTTTTCTTCCGTTTCTCCTTTATTTTGATTTACATGTTACTTACTTGCTCTTCCATCTTTCAGTTAGATCTTTCCACACTCCTCCATTTTTTCCCGTTTCAGCTTCTTGTTCTAACTCTTGTTTTCTTCCCCACGCTGTTTCATGATTTCTTCCTCCTTGATTAAATTGATCTTCACGATTTTGCTCAGAGAGTTAGTTCCCTAGTGTTACGATATGAAACTTTATGAGAAGGCATTCCTGTATGCTGCAGGAGCCGACTCTACCGAGTACGAAGTCAAGGAGTCAGAAGAGTCAAAGCGACGCAGCAACCGTCTGACCAAGACCGATGCTGGCAGAAACATTTGAAGTGAAATGAGCGGGAACAGGTTTGAAACGGGTTCCCGCGCCGCACGGTTTGAATTCAGTTGTAATAAGGGAATGTACCCCTTAGAGTACATGGCTAGTCTAGGTCTTTTCGTATTCCCCTGTATTCTTATATAAATCCGATGTATGCATGCTATTATCAACTCAGTCATTTACATTCACTCTGACCTGAGATTCAAACTTCCGCTGCAACACTACTCTGCGATCAACCCTGAGCGATCCTTCGCTAAGTCCTTTTTAGGATTGTAACACCTAGGTAGGAGCATATCTTCCTTCCATATTTTAATCGTCAGATTCCGTATCCATATCCGTTACTCTCTGGAAATTTCTCTCTGGTTTCTTCTCCTTGTTCAAAACTCTTCATTTTTTTTTTTTTTTTTTACTTTTCTAATTTCCATTTCTTTCTCTGCTCACTAGTATACATCTTGTGTCCTTCTCTGTTATTTCGAATAACATGCACTGTCTTTTACGCCATCTTCTTCATTTTCGCAGTTTTGTTTCTCATAAACTTGAAATCCTTCTATTCCGTCTTTTTCCTTGCACTATGTGCTTTCTGTTTATTGCAGAAACTGACTTATAGGGGGGATGGAAGGGAATGTCTCGTACAACCCATATTGTCATTGTGTGATTGGTTTTTATTCTGAGTAACTGTTCAATTTGTTTCATTTCTGTTTGTTGGACTACGATATTTGTTGCAATTGTAATGCATGTCTGCATGTTTCAAAAATATATCTCGCCGGCCATTGTCACAAAAGGTTCAGTGGTGTACCACTATCAAAGTGAAGTCATTTTGAGCTGGACTTGATCGGTGTAGATATTGTTTTTGGGATTTGCAGACTGTATTGCTTTGTTAGAACAATTCCAACTTTTATACTGCTGACTTCCCCCCCATGCTAGGCTAGGGAAGCGGTAGTATAAATTGTGAAATTTCAAAACTTTTTTTTTTTTTTTTTGCATATGTGGAACATATTCACTGATTTGTTTGGTGAATATGTTCCTGTCCCGTAGTGCGAACGACAAAATTTTCCCTGAATATTTCTTTAAAATTCTATGATTTTGTTTTACACAAAACAAAACGATTGAATTATTTTTAATCCCATAAATCGTTAGTCCCAAAAAGTAATGTAGCACAAAAAACATCACATGGCGAATATATAATATAGCTGATACCTTACCATAGTCCAGCACAATTCGAGAGGATGCTTATACCGAGTTTCTTTATCCTTTTCGTTTTTTCTCGAATAAAAAAATAATTCATCGAAAAAAAAAACAATTCAGATCGATCGCAATAGGTTGCTCCGCAACCCAAAAATCGCAAAGTAGGCTTGGAGGTTACTTGGGGGTTTTGAATAGCGGGTATGGCACGCATCGAAATTGTCAGGCTGAGCAAAGCGGGAAATTTGGAGCATTTTCGAGTTTGCCGCGGTCCGTTGCTTGCCAGAGAGCCAAGTGCGTCTTTTTCCCCGTCCAGCCATTCCAACCTTGTGCATCTCCCTACCTATCGGTATTCCTTGTCCGCTGTTCTTGGTACGCGCATTTACGATAGACCAACTCTCGTCCTCGCTTTCGCAGCTTCAGGAAGAATATTTGTTTAATCTGTTAGTGCAACGGCATGGCAGGCGTCAAGTCGCAAATGCAAATGACGTCACATACACCGAGGTCATCAGCATCCGGAGCAAACTCCACCTACTTTCGCGACACCAGCTTGAAGTTCGAGTTTAGGAGCCTTCGATCGCATGCACCGCCTGGCGTCTACGTCGCTCCAGCAGCGGGGATGCCGCTGACTTGGAAAGGTGTCATCTTTGTCGGTCAATGCGCGAGCGTCGTGGATACGTTAACTGAAGCTGGGCTGACTAACTACATGGGAGAGCAGATTAGAGACAGCGACACCGCTGGAGCAGTCGCAGTCTCGCAGCACAAGCTAAGCGGCGAGCAGAGTGCAACGGATACGTCCGGCTTGAAGACGGAAGGTCAGGGAAGTGCCAGCTCCATCGGGTACAGCGGATGGTACGAGGGGGGGATCTTCGAGTTCCTCATCTCCTTTCCGAACGACTACCCGCGGTCGCCCCCTCAGCTGCGCTTCGTCCCTCCGCCGCTTCACCCGCAGATCGCGGCGGACGGCCTGCTTGTGCTCGACGACGTGCGTCCGCCGCTCCAGGAGATCCAAACCCCGCAATCCGCGCAGCGGAACCTGTCAAGCGGCAAGGGAGGAGCAGCGGGCGGCGGCCACGTCATCCCGCTGCTTTTCCACGTCCACCGCATGTTTCAAACCCTCCGACCGTGGGCCCCGAACCAGAACCCGCTTCGACTGATGAACGGTCCAGATTCAAGCGCCGCTATCATCGCGTGCGCCGGGAATGGCGGAGAACTTGCGGGAGAGGGTCACGGGTGGGAGGGTGGAGAAGAAGGGGCAGGCGGGAGGGGAGACGGGGCAGCTGTGGGCAATCCCGCAGCTGCTGCCATGTTAGCGCATGCGCGAGACGATCTGTACGCTGCCGTGCGCCGGTGTGTGGCTAGCTCCGTGAAACGCGCTGAGACTCAGGCTCGGATACGTGCAGGTTTTTGGGAGACTACTGGGGAGGATGCGAGCAAGAGCGGAAAGAGCAGGTCTGCCCAGGAGCAGCGGTGCGCGGAGCAGCAGGCGCAGAAGGAGGAGATGATTCAGCGGGTGTTGGCGGGTGAACGAGGGCGGGACTTGTGGCGTAGTGTGATGATGACCAAGTGACGAGGACTCGGGTGTGGGTGGCCAATACGAATCTGTCTTGCTGTAGTTGACAAAAGTAACAATAATCGTTGTTTGTCCATACAAGAATTCAATAATCTATATTGCAGCCTATTGACTACGTCTCTGCAGGTTGCTTTCAGGATTTACGGTACTCGGGCAAATGCACTCAAATCTTAACAAATAATAAAAAGGTGGCAGTATCATTGTACAAAAATAATACAAAACAAAGCAGGAGTTCAAATTTCGGTAATTCGGGCTTGCCAGCCGTATGAGGGAGAGGGGTGGCACACACCATGCAGCACACCTTTTAGTGCACCATAAACCAGTAGCACACTACCCCAGCTCAGTATAGCCCCGTTGGCAGCAGCAGAACGGAGCCTGCATTGCAAATTCCTTGCAAGTGGCAACTCATGGAGGGAGGCGGGAGGCTGTTGGCCAATACGAATCTGTCTTGCTGTAGTTGACAAAAGTAACAATAATCGTTGTTTGTCCATACAAGAATTCAATAATCTATATTGCAGCCTATTGACTACGTCTCTGCAGGTTGCTTTCAGGATTTACGGTACTCGGGCAAATGCACTCAAATCTTAACAAATATTAAAAGGTGGCAGTATCATTGTACAAAAAGAATACAAAACAAAGCAGGAGTTCAAATTTCGGTAATTCGGGCTTGCCAGCCGTATGAGGGAGAGGGGTGGCACACACCATGCAGCACACCTTTTAGTGCACCATAAACCAGTAGCACACTACCCCAGCTCAGTATAGCCCCGTTGGCAGCAGCAGAACGGAGCCTGCATTGCAAGTTCCTTGCAAGTGGCAACTCATGGAGGGAGGCGGGAGGCTGTTGGCAGCACAGGCGAAGAGAGGAGGTCGCACTGGACCCAAACCCATGCGCTTAGCTGAGCCCACCGTGTGTAAATGCGGCCGATTGACCGACTGAAGGAAGTGGAACGAAGCGGGTGATATTAGCTCCGCCTTGAATCCGTGTGTGTACGTGACCAGCAGGTTTTTAGAGTCCGACTGACCAGCAGTGTAGATAAAGCTGTTGGTCTGCGCGCAGCAGACTGTTAGTAGTGTACCAAGCGATAGAGGCAGGGTCGCCTGGAGAGAGCATAGAGCAGAGAGCAGAGAGCAGAGAAAAGGGAGCCCTCAAATGGCAGAAGGCTGCTCCAGCCAAGGGTACAGTTGCGAGTCGGTGGGCGTTGACAGAGCTTGATGTTGAGTTGAAGTGGTGTTGACTTGACGGCTGCGTGTTAGTTGCGGCGTATGAAGGGAACTGGGGGTTCCCTTAGGATGGCTAGTGCGCACACCAGTCCAGATCCTGCACAGGAAGAGAAAATAGAGAGAAACAGAAAGAGAGAGAAAGAGAGAGCCATGAGATAAGGGGTCAGGACAGGGATAAAATACAGCGTGCGAAAGAGGAAAAACAGGATCCAAGGAGGACGAGAGCATAGAGCAGGGAGGGTGAATCTACCTCTGGAAGTGCGGAGCTTCGGGGCTTGAACGCCTTCCTCCTGTTCCTCCTCCCACTGCCAGCAGCGCCTCCCATGGGAGATGGAGCCAGGGGCGATCCCGTGCTTGTGCATGGGCTGCTGCCACTGGCCGTTGCTGCTAGCCGGGGAGTGCCGGCCTCCTCCCCCTCTTCTTCTTCCTCGTCCTCGTCCACCTCCTCTTTCTCCACCATCTCTTGGTCTTCCTCTTCATCCACTTCCTCCTCCTCCTCCACCTTGTGCTGCAGGAGGTGACTCACAGAGATACCCAGTGGGGCGCGGCCAGATGCTGGGGCACCGGGAGTCGCAGCAGCACCAGCAGCAGCAGCAGCAGCAGCAGACGGCGAAACACACGTCGAAGCAGAGGCGGAAGCAGCACCGCTTGTCCACTGCTTCGTGACAGGAGTACCAGCAGCCGCCGCAGGGGTCGATGCCACAACATCAGCGAGCGAGATGTCGGGCAGCCGCAGCAGCTGCACGCCGAAGCTCCTGCCCGACCCTACAGGCCCGGAACACCTCGAAGGGGCGGGTCCGATGGGAGGCGAGCATGGTGAAGGGGTGGAGGAAACATGGAGATAGCGCGTGCACGCCCCTTGCTGAGGGGTCACCGGACAAGTGAGCGCCTTGGGCGATCTTACAACCATTTCCTCCTGCCTTGCTGACGCCTTGCTGTATGTAGTGTACGCAGCCTTATCTTCCTGCTGCTCCAGCTCTTGCTCCTGCTGCCCCTGCTCTTGCTCCTCCTTGAAATCTATGTCCATGCACGCGAGAGTAGTGGTGGTGGTGGTGGCGGAGGTGGGGGTGATGGTGGGGTTGAGCGTGGGTCGTCTCAGCAGCTGCATGTGAGCGTGCATGGTGGTGGTGGGCTGAGGCGTGCAGGGCGCACAGGGCATGGTGGTCATGCTGCTGCTGCCTGCCATGCCACCTCCAAGAAGACTGGACCCAGCAGCAGCAGTGGCTTCTGCAGCAGGCTTCTGTGCTTCCAGTCTCGGACTGAGTGTCAGCTCGCCCTTACCCTTACCCTCAGTTACAGCATCTCTTCCAGTGGGAGCGGGTGACGAGGAGAGAGCGATTGAGGCGAGCGGCTTGAAAGGAGAGCCGTTGAGAGACAGCCAGGACGGGGAGGGGATGCCTGAGGGGGCTGCTGTGTAAGAAGAATGCTGGTAGTGGCTGGCTGGCGTGCTGACGTTTTGAGTGCACGGAGTGCTGACGTTTTGCACCTGGAGAGGGGCAAGGAAACACAGCGCAGGGAGGGGTATATTAGTGGCTGTTTCTGCTGTTTCTATTGTTGTTGTTGTTGTTGTTCTTGACGGGTGGATGGGAAGCAAGAGACGGGACGAAAGGTGGAAGCTGGGGAAGGGAGGCGAGAAGGAAGAGCTAATGGGAGGACAGGTGAGAGGGGGAGGCAAAAGGGGGAGGGGAGTAGGGGAGGAGAGAGGAGGGAGGAGAGGTAGAGAGTGGAGGATGAAAGCTCACCATGGCTGATGTGCTTCCAAAGCAAGGAGACGGGAAGACATCTGGATCCACAGAGGCACATCGGGTGTAGTAACCATCCCTTCCCCTCACGGCACCCTCCCCCATCTCCTGCTCCTCCTCGTCTCCCTCTCCCTCTCCCGCTCCCACTCCATCTTCCCCCATCTCCTCCTCCTCATCTTCTTCTCCCTCTCCCTCCTCCTCGATGAGCACGCGTCGCCGCACTCGCCTCGTATGGGTCATCATCTGATCCTCCAAGTCGTGGCACAGAGCACCCTCATCATCGCTCCTGGCTTCCTCGCCCTCGTGCTTCACACCCTCATCGTCCTCTTCCAAAACGTCGCCCGCATTCACATCCTCCTCCTCCTCCTCCTCCTCCTCCTCCTCATCACCATCATCCTCCTCCTCCACTTGCACATCATCAGCCCTATCATCATCACCATCGTCAGCAGCAGCGTCGGCATCCATACAGCGTTTGTTCCCATCGTCCCCGCCCTCCCGCTCCTCCTCTTCCTCCTCCTCCTTGCCCTCCGCTCCGCCTTGCACCACAGCAAAAGCTGCGGCAACACTCTGCTCCCTCGAAACTTGCGTGCTTGTGGACGGAGGCGGAGAGGGTATGCAGTGGAGAGCCGCCAGTAGAGCTTCCTGGAAGGATCCGGAACGGAGCAAGCAGGAACACCAGGGCGGAACAGAAGCACACGTTAGATTCAACACCACGACAAAACGGGAACTCACGAGACAAAATCGATGGCAGAGAAATGCAAAAACATTCGACTCTCATATCCGTGTAGATAACCGTTATTTTTAGCAAAATCAGGAGCAGGAGCAGGGGCAGGGGCAGTGGCAGGGGCAGGATTGGAAGCAAGCAGGATAATCCGCTCAAGATCATTCGTTCACAGGCAAGCGGACGCACCTTAATCTGGGCGACGTGAGCGCTGCCATCCACAGCAGCAGCAGGGCCTGATAGGAGCGCGTGAATGGCTGCGGAACACTCCTCTAATGCCTCGCACGACGGACACCGCCAGCACAGGGAACGGGCAGTCGCCGTAGCAAGAGCAGCAGCAGTGGCGGTGGCAGAAGCGGTGACGGCAGCAGGAGAGGCAGCGGCAGGGTGAGAAGCAGCAGCCGAGGCCGCAGCGTCGTCTGGAAATAGCAGAGCCGGAGGGGGAGCTCGGCGCGGCAGGGGCGGCGACCGGGGGCCTGATGACGTGATGACGTGGCGAGGTTGGATGCATGACACGTGGAAGTAGCGGCCGCACATCCCGGAACAGAGCAGCAGCGGCTCGTGGGAGACTTTGGGGGGCTCTCCTGATGCGGAGGCTGACGTGGATGGCATGGGACGGGTGGCAGGTGCAGGTGCAGGGGCAGAAGCCTTGTGCTTGCACCGGATGGACCAGCCCTGCAAGAGGCGAGGCAGCGGGGACACTTGTCAGCAACGGATACTACAAACCAGTGAAAGGTATAATTTGAAACTTATAGGTTTGTCAGACTAATAATTCTAAATTAAAAAAAAAAAAAGTAAAAAGACAAAACAAAACAAAACACTAACGGGAAAATGACAATGTTGGGGCAGGAAAGAGGTGCAGGGAGGAAATATTTACATTTCTTTTTCATTAGGGGAAAAAAAACACAAAGAAATAAATAAAAAAAAATAAAAAACTTGGAACACCTACAATATCTGGAAAGCGGTGAGTTACCTGGAAAGCTGCTTGAGGAGAGGATGAAAGAGAGCTGCTAGAGCTGTGGTGCCCGTGATGACTGCCGGCCTCCTCCGCCTCCTCTGATTTGTTCCTCGTGCCATGATGCTTGCACCCGGCCCTGCCGCTATCGCCGTTGCTATAACCATTGCCGTTGCCGTTGACGTTGCCGTTGCCGTGGCCGTTGCGCGCCGGTCCCAGGATCGTCTCCGCGGGATGGTCATCGGCGCACTGGCTGCACTGGCTGCGCGCGCGGCAGTAGAGCGACAGCTTCTCCACCAGCTCCCGCGCGACCAGCGCCGCGTGAACCGCCGCCTTCCGCGCGGCCTTGCCGCCCGACAATCGCGAGTTGTCGAAGACGTTGCTGTTGACAAGAGAGAATTGGTGGTAAGACGATAACGAGAACCGGAGTAGAAGGGAAGAAGGAACGTGGTGAACTGACAAGACTTATATTTGTTCGACTCAAAACCACTCCACACGTCAAGAAACCGCACGCGAAACGCAGAGAAACAAAAAAAGGCCAAGATTGACCGGCAGGGAACAAAAAAAATGCAAAAACATAAAAGGGAAATCCACTGCTAAATAAAGCGCCGGGGCGCGAGTGATTGGTAGTAAACTCACTCATCCTCGTCCTCTTTCTCTTCCTCATCGTCATCATCATCATCCTCGTCATACGACGCGTCACGGCACGCGGCCTCCTTGTCACCCCACCGCATCTTGCGGATCGTTGCCAGCTCCCGCAGCACCATACACTTGACTCTCGCGATCTCCCCCGCGCACGACACCTTGCGCGGGCTGCGCCTCTTGCGCTTCACGCCCGCGCTGTCCACCACAAACCCCCCCGTTTTGAAGCTCGAGACCTCGAACGAATCGCCTACTCCCGCACCAGCACCAGCAGCAGAGGCACGAGCACGAGCACGAGCACCGACAGCAGCGAAATCGGCTGTAGTCTGGCCTTCCTCGCCGTGCGACACTGCGTGCTTCGCGCAGTCTGCGTCTCCTTCGCTGCCTTGCGACCGGCTCTGCGACGGACCCTGCGATTGGCTGTGCGATCGGCTGCGCGACTGGCTCGGCGACTGGCTCTGCGACGGACCCTGCGACTGGTTGTGCGAGCGACTGGTTTCGGGCTCGGGATGCGAAGTTTCCTCCCATCCAGCCTGTCCCCCCCGGCGCGCAGGGCCGCAGTTCACGCCGCAACTAGCGCCGGCTCCTGCAGGAGACGTGGCAGCACCAGCAACGGCCAGATTAGTGTCAGACGCTGGAAAAACAGCAGAGGCGGCGGCCGCGGCCGCGGCGGCTGCTGCGGCGGCGGCGGCGTGCGCGGGGAGGCTGGCCTGGTGCGCAAGCGCGGACTTCGCGAGCTGCTGCACCATCAACTGAGCCTCGGGCTTTAAAGACCCCAGCGCCATACCGGGAACGTGCATGAACGGCAGAGCTACTAAAGCCGCGGCGCCGCAAACACAGCGCCTGGAGGGGCAACCGCAGGCCCTGCGCCCCGTGCCCGGGCCTTTCCCCTTGGGTTTCTTCGCGTGCGGCGGCTTGGGCGGAAATGCGCCGCACTTGCACATCCGCGCAGGGCATCCGCACGCCCGCCGACCCGTCCCCGGACCCCTTCCGCCGAGCTTCTTCGGCAGGATAAACACCTTCCCCGGAGGTAGGCCTGTTGCCGCAAATGCGCCATACGCGTTAAGGGCATAAGAGGAGCTGGCAGATGCGGCGGCTGCGGCGGCTGCTGCGGCGGTGGCGGCGGCGGCTCGGCAGCCGCAGGGGCCAGTGGCGGCGCAGTTGAGGCAAGGCGGGAGGAGTCCGAAGCTCTGATGGGTGGAATTGGCTTGCGTGGCGGTGTCTTTGTGAGAGCGGGTGCTGCTTCCGTTGGGGTGCCGCGGCGACGGCGACTGGACGGGGGAACGCGAGGCGCGAGGGGAGTGAGAAGAGTCGCCTAGGCTGGCGGACGCTGACATGGGACTGCGGTTTGTCGCATGCGTTGACTGCGACGAGGACTGGGGTGGCGTTGACTGGAGAAGCGTTGACTGGAGCGTTGACGGGGGAGCGTGGCTCGCGGGGGTTTCGTTCTGGTGATCCGCATGCGAGAGGGAGAAATCGCTAGGTACCTGCCGCCACAAGGATCTCGACCGGCTCACACGCGGGCCCGTGGAGGAGCAAGAGGAGCACGAGGCGGGCGAGGAGCAGGGAGATAGCGTGGGTGGCGGCGAGTCTAGCGTGAACTTTGGAGCATCCGGACCTGTGGAAGGTTTACGGCGGGAGGTGCGGGGAGAGTTGATGCGAGAAGCGGGAGATTGCATGGTGCTGTGCGGTTAGCAGAGCTGCTGCGAGCCGCGGGGAAGGCTGAGAGTGGATTCGAGAGCGGGGAACAATAGAGGGTTAAAGAGTCTGCGCGACATTCGGCAGGAGAAGCTTGGCTTAGACGAACAATGGCGATGAGAGAGCTCTGCGCGGGAAAGGAGGTGACAGCTCGAGATCCCTCTGGGTACAAGAGTTAAAAGATTAATCTGCAGCTGGAGGGTGCGTTGGCGCCTTGGAATGCTCCGATTCTAATTTTCTCAGAAACGATACGACCTTCCAGGGAAAACGAAAGGCTGAGGCTGCGAGAAGCCGTGTAGAAGCGTAAGAGCGCTTGGACTCGTAAAGCTAGGCACTGTATAGGCGGCTATAATGGTTGGTCGGGGAAGAAAGGTGGCGTTAGGATTCAGGCGAGTGAAGAGATTGAAGTTGACGAGTGGAGATAACGAAGCTCTACTCTCGTCTCGTCTCACGGGGGTAGCTCCTCTTTGCTGAATTCACGACAGAAATTCAGTGATATTCTGTATTAGACTTCAAAACTGGTGGCTTGAAGAGACATTTGAGGCGCGTGATTGATCACTTGCTCGGTCCGAGCGCTTCTTGCTTGTGGAACGGGGACCAGACGGAGCGAGGCCATGCAGGATGCGGCTGTGGAAGTTTTAGTCTGCTGAGGAGCATTGTTTCACTGTGAATGAACAGCAGCAGGTCCGTCACGACGAGGGGACGAGTCACGGGTGACGGGGTGTGTCGACTGGAATTCGGGAATGATACGAGGGGAAAGCAAGGTGAGGAATCCCTCAGCTGCCTGGGACGCTGCGCGAACCGAGGAGTAACATGTAGCTGACATTCACGCTCGTTCTCATTTGGCTCGGCTCGCCTTGCAGCAAGGCACTTTTCCCTGCTATTCCTCCACACCACGGATCTTTTGTCATCCGAATCCTCCTAATTTCAAAGCCCCAGCGGCCATAGTGTACTGTTTCGTCCTTGGATTTGGGTCACAGCCGCTTGGTGCAATTGCCTTCCCGCACCACATGTAAATTCCGCCGATGACGACGAGACGACCCGACTCTTGGACGGGCGAAGGGAAATGCAATCTTTTCGTCCAGGGGCTGGCGCAGGCTGTGCTGTGGTGGTGTGCTGGGCACGGCGGCTCGGCTCGCAAATGGCCTTATCCATCGAGACTGTGGATACATTGAACGCAGGATAGGGAGCCACGAGGACAATCGGACGGTCGTGAGAAAGACTTGAAACTGCCAGCGCACTTAGCGGAAGTAGGTCTCGGCTTCGTCCCGCAATTCTGGTTTCGGGCGACAGCGGAACCCTCCACAAGTGCTCGCCCTTGGGAATTGCTGCTGATGTGCGTTTGCATGTTGGGCGCGCCGAGTGGCGAAGAGCTGCATCTCCTCTCATCCGCTGTTGGCCTGGAACACATTAGCTGGGCAGCAGCCAGCATGATCCAGCCACAGGGAATGTCACATGTTGCTGCTCTGTGACATTCCCCAATGTGGTTCCCCAAACGAAACGAAACGAGGCGAGGCGGGCGAAACCGAGGCTCTTCAGCCAAAATTGCTGGGCCGATTTTCGGGGCGTATGTCAAGCCAAAATAGGGCTGGAATCGCGCGATAATCACGCTGAATGCGAGACTCAGAGCGCGCCAATTTATAGGCCGACTGGGCTGACCAAGTCCATGCTGGTGCTGTGAAATGCCAGTGAGGACGTGGACCCCAAATTATGCTAAAGAGCCGACATAACGACGAGGATTCCGCCTGCATTTCATGAACCACAGCCAGGATGGTCAAAGTGTGTTCACCAGGTGTCTTCGTACGACTGGCAAACAATAAATAAACGAGTAAAGTCAAAATGCTGAACACCCTCAAAATGGGGGCGGTATGGAAGTACAGAGCAGCATCTTTCAGCGAAGCATCTCGAGATGGCAACCATCCGATACAGTCAGCCGGAGGTAAGTATGTGTAATGTGTACATCGACGTCCACTTTCCTATCTATGCTTATAATGCTTCTTCACGCACATATGCATTTGTTTTCATTTTTCATGGTATGTACTTTCACTCATTGTTTCGTCTGACATCCCTGGAGCAGGCACAGCGTACTAACATTGGATTCTTCCACGTGTACTATGTAAGAGATGGAGGTAAAGAACGACAATCACATTCTTCCTTTTACACACAAGCACACATCTCTACTACCGTACCTAGTCCCAATATCGCAAGTCCAGCTTAAATCCCATGGTTGTCGTTGTGGCAGTCAGTTACTTAGTATAGTAGTTTGGCATGGTTCGTTGCGTTATTCGTAAGTTAAGTCATTGATGTGCCACGACAGCTCTCACTTCTGCCTGCTGTGGCTTCATGGAAGTCATGTTAGCTGGTGGCAGCAATCTCGAACCGGCAGAGAGGGCAGGTGCGATTACGGGCAAACCATGTTGTGATGCAAGCATTGCTGCATCCAAAGAAACAGAAGGCACAACGGTGATGGAAATGAAACCGATGTGAAATTATTGCAAAGGGAGCACGTATTGAAAATGGGCGATTAGAGACACGGCAGGGATCAGGAGGGAGGAAATTGCTTATATTAGGGGGCCAGTCAGCAATGGGGATTGGAACGCTTACTGGAAGGTGTGGTGGCAAGGAAGACATGCCAGAAGGTCACCCTCCACTGGAGGAGAAAGGCATATCTGCCAGGGGATAGGGTTGGGTTGGGAATAAGAAGGAAAAGCCTAATCAGGTGCGGATGGATGCTGAATGCTGAATGATCGATCACTGATACGAACACGTGCAAGTACTGGGTACGAGGTAGGGATATCAGAGGCACGGAGAGGGAACTAGCATGAGACAAGAAACACTTCCAAGGTTGGGTGATAGGTGACTATGTAGCACAGGCGTGTGGCAGTGCATGTAGAGAAGGAATGCAAGAAAGGCACCTGGCAATCTGGGTGTGAGTGCATGTCAGCCTGGGTCACAGTGAGTCGATCCAGCCCCCACAGTTCCCGTGGAGTGAGCCCCCTGCAGGGCGAGAGATAGAGCAAGAGAGCAAGAGAACGGGAAAGAGCAGTGGAAGGAGAATAAGAGAGCAGAGCAGGTCCAATGGATGAATCCGCTCATGGATTTGTGAAATTCATACTCATGCGGTGTTGTGAAACAGTCGTCGTCGGCGAGCGAGCAACAGTTGTGCCGAATCAATACAACTGGACGGGTTCTGTCCGTCCGATCAATGACAACGAGCCACTCATGCACAAGTCACCAACAACACATGGCCTGAGACATTACCTCGGCGCAATGCCTTCATCCAGCAGCAGCAACTCCTCATACGACAGTTGCTCCGCACCACCCTCCATCCCCATGGCCTCTCCCATCCGCTCCCCGATCCCCTCCCCCATGCCCCACCCACCACTCCCCCTCCCCTCACTCCCTCCCCAGCCCCATCCACCACTACCACTACCACTCTCCCCGCCACTCCCTCTTGCCGCCCAGTCAGCAGCAGCAGTCGCCCCACTGCTAGCAGCACGGGTCAGCCCATTACTGGTAGCGGGACTAGTCCATCCATATTCAGACGAGCTGTCAGGCCGGCTGGAGAGCGCAGGCGAGAAGACAGCAGGGAAGAGAACAGTGCCATAGCTAGTGCGGCTGGTGTTGTTGGTGCGGCTGCTGTGGCTAATGCGGCTGACACGGCTGGTACGAGTGGTGCGGGTAGTGTGGTTGGTGGTGCTGGTGCGGAAGCTGGTGTGGGAGCTGGTGTGGGAGCTGGTGTGGTAGGTGGAGCGGGAGAAGACTTGGAAGGGGTCCGGAGTGAGGGAGAGGGATGGAGAGAGCGTGGGTGAGGCAGGGCCTTCAGTGGCCTCTTGGTCCACCTCTGCACGGCACACACACACACACACAAGGCAGTCAGGGGTTGTGGAAATAGATGGAGAAATGAAGGGACGAGAAAATGGGACGATTTTGAGGCGCCTCGAAGAGAGTGGGATGGCGCCAAGGAGCAGGCAAGGCAGCAAGGGAAGAGGGAGTAAAGTAATGAATTGAAAGTTAAGTAAGGTTTAAGTAGGGATGTTTGAGTAGGGTGGGTGGGCGGGCGAAGGGCAACAGGAAGGTGTGCGGAGCGAGAGGAAAGAGGAAGAGGAGGAAGGGAAGGAGGGGCATGGAGGGGGTTGGTGCGTAGTTGTGATGCTTGTACCTGAGAGTCTTCGCTGCATGGTGAAGGGGCGGGTGAGAAGAGTGTCTCGGGGGAGAGGCGAGAGAGCTTCCATTAGCATTGCATCCCACACAGCAGCACCACCGCCACCACCACCACCACTGCTGCTGCTGCTGCTGCTGCTGCTGCCTCTTCCATACCCGCTGGCGCTTCGATCCCATCCATTTCCACTGTTACCACTGCTGCCTTGGCTGCCAGTGCTGTCTCTACTGCCCCTGCTGCTTCTACCCATGCCAGCAGCATGCAGCAGCACAGCAGCGACAGCAGCACTGCCAGCATACCCCGTGCCTGCAACCTCCCGTCCCACCTGGTTAACCATGCTCTCCATCCCCGCACCTCCCGCCTCGTTCATCACCCCGTCCACATCTCTCACTCGCTCTTCCACGGGTAAGTGCTCAAACCCCTCTGCGGAAGTCACACTGGCAATCTCACTCGGACTATCATTGGGACTGCTCACAA